AAAGGCCCTGTGTAGCGACGTACGAGCTGACTAGGTAGTACTAGGTAAAGCACTCAGGGCTGCGTCACGAGCGCAGAAATGTCCCCTGGTAGCAGTGTCGGCGGGCACAGTCAAGAGGTTAGGAAGATGGAGGAGGGAGGTGCACAAACCAGCGGTCGACGAAGGAGGGGCGCGCGCAAAGGTGTCGACAAGAGATAGCAACCGGTTAGAGCGCAGGGCTCATAACCTGATGAACTCTGAACCTGGAAGGCTGTAAGCCGCACAAAGAGAGGTCTTCAGTCTGTGAGAGAACGACTATGATTGCATAGTACTGTACCTGTAAGCCGCACAAAGAGAGGCTACAAGTACTAGTAAGTAAACATGTAAGGAAGCATAGGTAGTGTGGGACTTACTCTTCAGTCTGTGAGAGAACGACTGAAGAGCAGAGGCCTGCAGAGTCCTCCTTATATACTACTGGGGAGGACGATGAGTAAGCGTATAAGAAGAGAGCATGTGACGTCCAGAGGACGCTGACTGAGCGATGAGTAACGCTGAGTAAGGGAGCATAATCGACATAAGGTCAGATAGTCCATGGCTGAGTAATGCGAGTAATCCGGACGCTGTCTAGAATAGTCCGGAACATCGTAGAACGTACCAGAATCATGTGGAGGGATGGCAGGATGCCAAGTAAGTACAGAACAAAAGAATGTACGTATATGGTAAGTAGGAAAGTCCATGCTGGCGTATGGTAGACGCACAGCCACTATCACTGCCACTCCCGGTCCGGCACAGCCGTAGACACAGAAGTTCAACACCGTGCTTCGATGCATATACACTCGAGGAGACCTAGCGGCGTGTCAAACACTTGGAGGCTGGATAAGCTGACCTATTTTTAGGCTACTAGGAGCACCTTCTATACCAGCGCGAACAGAGGAGCAGAGGATTTGCCAGAAGGACTCGCGTGCACAGGCCTATATCTGACCTTGTAACGGATGCAAAGTTCCTACGCCGCCTTTGCTCATCTCGGATACGACTGTTACTTGAAGACCACCTCACGGGCTGCTTTACGCCATCGGCGGATCTCAGAAGCACTGTTTTTTTACTCGTAGGTCCGCCCCCTCCCTCAATAATCTTTATATCGCAGAAGCTATCGTCTCGCTGTACGACCTCCCTCACTTATTTCCCTACCAGTCTTTTCTGTCCTTGACTCTCGACGGTTGCACGCCACAGACACTAAACTTGGGCGACTATCTCCGATGATCCCCGCTGCTGGAGCCGCGTCTCCAACATATCACGCTCGCGTGCTGTGTGCGATGCCGGATTGGACAGGCCGACAAGGGCGCAATCCCATGGGACCTCGCTCCCCGCGATAAACGCGGTCTGCAAGAGTTCCTTCCCACCATCCTCCGCACCGCAACCCATCACGCTTCTGGAGGTCGCGCCTCGAGGATACTCATCGGAGTCTAGAGATAAACAGGTCGCATTGCTCGCGCTGCTCGGCAAGTCCGATCATCGCCTTCGCCACGATCAACGGTGTGCGGGGAGAGCGAGCGCCTGCAATTGAATGCGAGTGGCCGCGGATGAAGATCGCACGTATGCCCCCGGGACGACACGTACAAGCGATGCCGACACTACATCTCTTACGCATCATCTTGACGCGGAATTGGTCCAGGTGGCGATGGGACAGGCTGAGTCCCTGTGTCAATACGGGTCAGTCCAGTACTGGCGTCTTTGAGGGAGTACGACGCGATAGGTGCTAACGAGGAAGGCCACGCAAGGCGACCAGGCTGTCAGCAAGTGTATGCCTTGGTCGGTTGGGCATACCGCAGGCTCTTCCCGATGCCGTCGGCGGCGTGGTTTTCCTCGCTTTTCTGCAAGATTGTGAGATAGAACGCACGTATTCTTCAAAAGGCTACTTACTTGTTTACCGAAGACGGCGTCAACTGCACAGAGGACGCCGTCAAGAAGTAATATCCCCTTTCGGTGAGTTCATGAGGTTCATAACCATCGATGGTTCCTGACCTCAGCCTGTCCGGATGTGCATAGGCCTCCCTAGTAGCTGCAGAAGTTTGACTTGTGGCTTGATGCTCTTCGCATTTCAAGGACGATGTCGGGTGCTAAAGGGTTCTTTGCCAATTTGTAGCTGGTTCCATGTGCCGCATTGCTCCACCGAGAGGTGAGTACTTAAGGCAGAAGAGGTTTCTCTCAAGCGCAGAACCAGGTTCTCCTCCCGCATCACCGAATACACTACGACTACATATCTTTCAGAGCCTCATGACCCACCTTTTTCACATTCCTAATACTCTGTCGCGGTGGCCCTACCCGCGGCGCATTCATCCCGACTACGAGGAGGTCTCTGCTGAATCTGCTGCATGGCTGAGGTCGTTCCACCCGTTCTCCCCCGAGAAACAGGTCGCCTTCGACAAGTGCAAGTTCGGTGAGCGGCTTTCGTCCGTACCGGTGCAGCCGAGCTCAACGTGTTTTGATAGGTCTTTTCGCCGCGTTGACATACCCCAACGTCGACAAAGGTAATGTCCCCGTTTTGTTCGAGAGTATCCGCCCGCTAATCTTCACTCGTCTCCAGATCACTTCCGTTCCGCATGCGACCTCATGAACGTCTTCTTCGTCTTTGACGATCAGACGGATATCGTGGACGCAGCCCACGCCCGCGTGCTCGCCGACATCGCTATCGATGCCGTGCGCCACCCAGATTGCCCACGCCCGAACGGGGAGCCTGTCCTCGGAGAAATAACACGGCAGTAAGTGCCCCTCCGTGGTGTCGAAGTGCCGCCATGTCCGAGTCCATTGAAATCGCGCTAACCATCCGGGCTTGCGCAGATTCTGGGCCCGCGCGTGTGTGAACTCTACCGCCTCGGGGCGGACGCGGTTCGAAGTCGCGTGGATGCGCTACGTGGAGGGCGTTGTCGGACAGGCGGAAGACCGCGATGCAGGTCGTCTGCGCACGACCGAGGAGTACCTCGAGCTCCGGCGGTTCACGATCGGGGCCAGCCCGAGCTACGCGTTCGCGGTGCTCAAAGTGGATCTCCCGCTCGAGGTCTCCGAGCTCCCCATACTCCGCGAGCTCAGCGAGTACATCACGGACATCATAATACTCGATAATGTATGGTGTTGGTTGTTTGCGGCTCCGAGTTTCGCCCTACTCACTTACCAGCCGCAGGATATATGCTCGTATCCCAAGGAGTACGCGGCCGGGGACATAACGCACAACATGATCACGCTCGTCATGAACGAGAAGCACCTCGACCTCGATGCCGCGGTCGCGTGGGTCGCCGGGGAGCATGCGAGGCGAGTAGATGGCTTCCTCGCGCTCCTGCCCGAGGCGTCGGCACTGTCCTTCGGCTCGCGTGAGGTCGATGAGGCGTTGTCGGCCTACTTGGACCACCTCGTCAACTGGCCTCGTGGACTCGAATGCTGGAGTTTCGAGTGCGAGAGGTACTTCGGGAAGGACGGGTTGAAGGTAGCGACGGAGAGGCTCGTCGAGGTGCCGGTCACAGTGCCTGGGCATTCCTTCTAACAGTCTCAACTTCTGCGCGTCCACTTTGTTTTCACAAACTTGCCCGACTCGTCCACCGCCTCGTCCGCTTCGTATGGTTACATGAACCCAGTGTTCCAACGTTCCCGAGACAATAGTCTCATCCTCACCGGTCACCGCACCAGGGCGCCCGCCCCTCTCACTCATCCGCGGCAGCGACCCGATCAAACACGTCACGAACGACGAAGAACTGCATCTCGCTCAGCAGTCCGCGCTCGCGGAGCTCCCGCAGCCACGCGTCGCGTGAGATCATGCGTGCGAAGACGCGCACATACGCGCCCTCGCCCACCCCGTGCGACGCGAACAGCGCGGAGATGCGCTCGACATCAGCCGCGGGGAGCATTTGTACGCGCAGAAGATCGGCGAGGGTGGATTGGGCCTCCGGGCTTATCGGAGCTAGCGGTCGCCAGAGATGAGCGAGAGAATGTGTTTGAATCGGATGCGCGCCTAGGACTTGGGCGCGAGCCAGACGTTTCGGCGGAAGGACAGGGTATGTTTGAGATCGGATGGCGCGGAGAGGCGGGTGGTGGATCCGGCTGCGCAGGAATTTCGCCGTGCGCCGAGGTGTGTAGCTGTGTCTCGTCACACAGTGAGCGGCGCAGGTACGTGGGGCTGGGGGAATACGACGCGATTTAGGGTGTTTTTACTTATGTACACTCGCTATGCTAGCGTACAACTCCAGACCAAGTGCGCCGCCAAGGAGGAGGAGTGCGGGATATCACGCACGAGTAGGAAGCATAAAATATGGTGTAGGGCACAATCACGCGCATTGAACGAAGCGGACGTTACAAGCATCTGCAGGCAATGCTTGATGGGTGTCGCATGACTCGAATCTGGAATGAAAGGCTGCAATGCGGCGTTCGGGGGCTCCGTGTATTATTAAGCTGCATTACATTTGCATGCGAGCGTGATCAGTAGGGAAACCAGAAGTCAGTCTCGGAGGCCGTGACAAGGCCAGTCTTTGGATCTATCGCTCCACGCAGTTGAACGACATCTCGACACGCCTTGGCCTTGTCCGCAGTTGGATGGAGGTAGATGACCCCATCCTCCCTTGCCTGATGGGCATCCGCAATGTCGTGACTGTAGCAACGATTCATCGCGGTCAGTGATACTGCGGTAAAGTAAACCTATATAGACACTCACCTCTTTTCAAGATGTGCCGGCATGGAATTCCAATCCGCATCGAACGCAGGGCAGAGCGAGCACGACCACAGCACCCTCGTATCGAAGTCTGTTTCCGAATGCAGAGCCTCCCGAAGGGCCCGTACAGTCTCCATCTCCTCCTCGTCTACACGCCGCCACTTTGGAATCTTCCTCCTAGTTTTCCGCGAGTCCGTCACATGCCCCACGTCATGTTCGTACTGTAGCAAAAGGAAGTAGGCGTGTAAGCAGAGCGGGTAAGGCGAGTTGCATTGGTGATCAGACTCACTGCATCCCTCCACGATATGGCCCAGATGCAGTCGTTCGGGCGGTCTGTCTCGCAGGTGACACAGCGCAGCCACACATCGTGCCGCTCAAGGTCGTCGAACGTCGCGCGCGCAGGATCCAGCCCAAACGCAGACACAATTCGGCGCATGCTGCTCACTGCGCTGAAGGCGTCAGCACGGCCGGCTAGCCCATCGAGGTGGAACGGGGTAGCAATGTCGACGTCCAAGTGCGGACTCTTCTCCAGGTGTTTGAACTGATGCTTGGACCATTCCAGGGACTGCACCGTGCGGGTGTAGGTGTCCTGTTCGCGGAACGCCTCTGACGTGATGCAGGCACCGCGGAAGCAGGTCTGGAAGCGGCAGTTGTGTGTGAAGACGTTGGGGTAGCGCAGGAGCCCGATGCCGACGAAGCATGTTATCTCTGGCTTGACCTTGAAGACAGCGATGGCGAGCGAGAGCGGGTCGACATCGGGGGCGATTTCGCCGAGATACGGACGCAGGTATGCCGTGAGCTCCCTCCGACGATCCGCATCCCATTTCTGCGCTAGCGCGGGAACGACTGCGGCGAATTGTTCGAGTGCGACCGTCTCGGACACAGGCACGTCCACGATCGCGCGGCACTCGGGCGTGAACGCGAAGTCGACGTATGTTGGACGGCAGTTCATCTTGGCAGTTCGCGGAAGGGTCACGTAGTGCGCACGGATAGCCTCCTCCAGCAAGTCGAAGTGTGCACTCAGAACTGCACGGAGTTCCTTGTCGAGACGTTTCGCCCGTGTGTCGTTGAGAAAGCCGTCAAGCGCGGCAAGCACCTTCTGCCACGCTAGGATATGGCTCGCCTATCAGGAAGTAAAACGCGAACATAAGGATTGTACTTACATCCTTCAGTGAGCTTGTTCGACTGGCGGACGACCGGCAACTTCGACATCGTGTCGATTCCCTCTGCGCCCAAGAAGTCCAGCTCTGTCCCCCAGCCAATCTCCCTTAATTTGGCGACAATGCTGTGGGGCGAGGCCTTGTTAGCGCAAGCACATATCCCGGATACATCAATGGACGTACACATCCAACCGCTGTTTCCTGGCGTCTTCAAGTACAGCTTGCCTACCCTCTTCTTGACCTCTCAGCCAAACTTCGATAGCATCAGCGTACTAGCACCATATCTGTCAGGATATCGGACGACGTGTGTGACACTGAAAATGTCATACCGGTAGACGGGCGGCGATTTCGGCTTTGATCTGCAGACGAAACGTCTTCAAGTCCCTCTCTGGAGAAGCGGGGAGCGCCCTATACCGCTCGAAGACGCGGGCCACGTCGTCTCTCAACAGACGGTTGAATTTTGGATCATGCGTGCTGGAGGAGCGAAGGAGAGTAGTATACGGCATATGTGCACATAGGATCCGGAGGACTTACCGAGAACGTCGCTGTACGTGGAAGAGCGAGGCGACATCATATTGCAACAGCCTACATAAATCCCCACGACTGTCGATCTTTTTCGCTTCGTCTGCGGCATCTATAAACCATACGGTCCTGCAGATCAACCTTCAGACACATTCTCGCGTGTATGACAAGCGCGACTTCCTACCTTTCCAGCAAACAGGCCGTGCATAGGCGAATGAAACACCCGAACAGAATTTTGCGAACGTTCGACGCCCCGCAGTTCTGCAGGTTCCTCAACATAGTGAGTGGCTGAGACCAAACTGAGGGCTTACGTGGCAGTACGGCGAGTACAGAAGATGGGCGAACGCAGGCTCGCTCATCCAAGGCGGCCGATCGGGGACTCCGGGCGTGTTCGCCCGCGCTGGCACCCACAGATTCCGCTCGAGCGCCTTGTCCAAGAAGAATGCGCGGAACTTCTTGCAAGTCCGCAGAAGGTTAAGCATGTCCGCCAATCCGAGCTCGTTGTATATCTGGGGGACAAGTCGCCTATCAGCAACTACTTTGGATGCCACAGCTGTGTACTAGCGCTTACATCCAGCTGGATCTCCAAGGGTAAGTCTGGCAAAGCTTGAAGACGACCCTTGCGGACAATCCGCTTCGGATTATCTGAAGCCGCCGTGTTTGATTTCATTCTCTTTCTTGCAACAACAAATGTGTCTTCGGCGGCGGTGGCGCCTGCTGAAGTAGTGCTGGCAACGGCTTTGGTTGCCGCCCTAGTCATACGGCGTGGCGCGGTCTGTACCGCCGCATTGGTCGAGGTTACCAAGAGAGAATCGCCGTTAGCCCTCTGCTTCTTCCGAGGCATAAGTAATGTAGCGCGGATGAAGATGGTGATGGTCGCGGTGAAAGAGGGGAATCGCTGGCGAAGCAAAGAGAAGCGTGGCGGGCGTCAAAAGCGGTGGTGCCGAGTCGCGCACCACGTAAGTAATGCACGGGCGGAACCGAACCGAATTACATCTCCTCTACCATGAATTCGGAAGATAGGCATTGCGAGGACGCCGCCCTGGCAACTCTGGTAGACTCGATCGAGGAACTAAGTGGGTACACTGCAGACATACCTATACTAAGTAGTCTAAATGTACGATTATGATGCGTAGAATATCAATTAGATACCATGGCTTCCAGGCAGTGTCAGTCCGCTGCAAGGGCATTCAACATATCCGAGATCACCCACGATTGTATGTCGGTCAATAGGCCCTTCTCGCGCATCTCCGACAGCCACACCTCGCGGTAGCGGGCAGGTAGACGAGCGAACATCCGTAGATATGTCTCGTCGGTGATCCCCAGAGATGCAAACAGGAGGGCGATACGCTGTCCATCCGAGTAAGGGAACCCGCGGGCACGGAGTATGTCTTGGACTGTCGAGTCTTGAACGGCGATAGACGGGCCCGGGTCTGTGTTGACTGCGGTCTCGGAAGGAGACTCGGAAGCGAAAGAGGACTGCCGTTGTCCAGTCTCCGTGAGGACATTGCTCGTTCCTTCAGCAGGCAACTGCGTAGCTCCCACGTCTGGTAGAGAGCCCGAGGAAAGCAGTGCTGGAACGGCAGGTGCTTGGGGAAAGGAGCGGGGAGGAGACGAGTCTAAGACCGCAGGAGTGCATGTATCGTCTTCAGCATCGCGTACCGGGATTTGCACCGGGACTTGTGCGTCCTCCTGTCGATGAAAATAAAGAGCGTCAAAAGGCTTCCGATACGAAGATTGAGAAACGATGAAACGAAACCCACTGATGCATTGCTGTCGGAGGAGAGCGAACTTATTTCCCCACCATCATCCACTGAGGCGTTCTCTTCAAAGCCCAGATCCTCGTCCGAGCTGACATCCTCGTCCTCGTACTCAGTTTCTCCTCTTTTTTCGCTACCAGAACTTTCTATGTTCTCATGAAGCTCATCCTCTACTTCAGGATCCCCACCAGGCACTGACATGTCGCTGATTTCGATTACTTCTGCATCCCTTAGCTTCTTCAGCCTGCCGGAGCGACGCACAAAGCGCCTCGAGCTGGCTTCCACTTCGATAGAGCCTCTGTGCGCGGGGCTACTTGACCGCATCCCTGTAGTAGATGCTAGCTCGCACTCTGAGTCGTATGTGGCTATGGCGCGGTTTCTTCCGACATACTGCAAGATGTCTATCAGCCTTCATGGTCGTCAGAGAGTGTAGCAGAACAAAACTGACACGTGAGTCTTGGCATCTTCCGGAAGGCCGTGCAGGAGGAGCACTTGTCGAGCTGGTCTGACGTGACACTGCCGTGGAGGTGTGTTTCTTCAAAGCCAGTTGCAGATACGAGTCGATGGGCCAGGCGTCGGTATACATAGCATCCAGCGTCGGGCACTGCTCCATCACCTGTACGTCACGCAATGGCTTTTCAGAATCATCCTGTGAAGAAAAGAGGAAGAGATGTACTTCGCGTCTGATCTCCTCCAGAGTCCCCGGGTCCTGCACTCTGTACGGGAGCGTGAGGTCAATATGGCGGGCCGCCGTTTGTCGTATGATGTTCTGTAACTAAAAGTTAATGATCAACGGCGCTTGAAGAAGTGGGTTTTCGTACCATGAGCTCGGAGAAAGTATCCGTGTCGGTCTCGAAATGCATCTGCTCCATCAGCGTAGATGTCCCTTGTCGAAAGGAAGCATATATCACATCCGGAAGAGAGCTAGGTCTCGGAATGGGATATACGCGCTCTGCAGAGTGATTTATAGATACGCTCTCCCTGGGGCAGGATGAGCACAACTCACCTGGCATGACGATGATGATGAGGAAGTTAGTTCAGAGCGGCCGATCTGCGGTGCCGCATGGTACTGCAGCGGGCAAAAATATGGCCCACGTCCACGGCGAGCTAGCGCCCTGAGCTCGACCCTGAGCGACCATACAATTGCCGTGGCCGAGCCTCTTCACTGCGCTCCCTGTTTGCTAGAGTTCGATCTCGAAATGAGCCCAATGCTCTAGCACCAAGCTTCGTGCAAGCGCATCTACGCTCGCGGCCCTGCCCGAAGGGTGCTGGCATTGGAATCATCATTATGCACTTACGATCTGTACTCTTCGATAACTCTCGATATGTCTGCGGGTCAAGCACAACCGAGCGACTGCTGTGCATAGCCAACCTCCGTAGGACCCACCTCCATCTAGCAATCAATCCATCACCACAGTGTCCAGCACATCGACGATGACCCACGCCTGGACTTCGCTCAGCTGTCCCTTCTGGCGCATTTCGGACAGCCACGCCTCACGAGACGGGGCAAGGCGCGCGAAGACCCGCAGGTACGCCTTGTCGACGATTCCCAGCGACGAGAGGAGGTGGGTGATGCGGCGAGAGTCCGTTAGGGGTAAGCCGCGCGAAAGCAACATGTTCTCGATGTCCGAAGGCTGGGGCGTAAATTTCCGCGAAGCTAGCGATGGGGGGCCGGAAACGAGCCCGTCTCCGAGATGATCAGCCCTGGGAGCTGCGTCATGAGTCATCACGCTGGTGCTCAGCGTCGGAGATGAGTTAGGGGGTTCAAGATCTTGGGACAGGCTGCGGGCGCGGTGCGGCGAGCGTCGAAACGGGCGCAAGCCCTTGCGTAAATGCTGATGAGTATCTTCTTGAGTCTTCTGCACCGGTCAATCAGAGGCGTTAGACAGATTCCGCGCAAGAATGTAAAAACACACCGATGTACAGCCGGATCCCAGTGACCCACGACTTAAACGCAAGGGCAGAGCGCCTTCCGAGTCTGAGGCCGAATTCGAACCGACTTCAGGATCAGCGATGTTCGCCGAGCTCCTTCCATCCTCCGCTTCCTCCGCTTCCTCATCCTCGTCGTCTTCGGGTGCCATGTACACCTCAGAAGACGCGACAATGGTTTCATCCCTCTTTGTTAGCCTGGTAGAGCGGCGTAAGGACCGCCTCGAGCTCGATTCGACGCTCAGGTTGGCGGTTCCGACGCTGGTGAGGTTCTTTCCAGTGCGACTGTCTAGAAACAATCGACGTGACACGGCACTGAGGTTATGGTTCGTCTGCAACAGAAATGTCAGGGCTTCTCGCGCCGTGGAAGAACACAAACACTAGTAAGGCATACTTGTGAGCGCTTGCCTCTGGACTTCCGCCCGGTCGTATGCTTCTGGTACGAGTCCAGCGGTTTGCGCTGATTCAAAGATAGTCGCAGGTAGGAAGTGATGGGCCACGCATCGTCATATCTCTCTTCCAAGGCAGGGCATTGCACGAGCACCTGTCATCGTGCAACGATGACTATTGCGGCTTCGTTTCAAGGGAGATGGACGCCTACCTCCTCTCTCACCTCCTCCAGAAGGCCCGGATCCTGCCATTTGTAGCCCATCCCAATTCTAAGATGAGTGTCCATCTTTTGCTTCATCAGCCTCTGTGTTGCCGCTAATGAATATGGGTGTAGCAGAGGTGTCTTGTCACATACGGTGAACTCGCGGAAGGTCTTCAGATCGTTCTGCAGGCACATCTGCTCCTGTAGCGTAGTCACGCGCTGCTGCGAAGTTCGGTAGATTGCGCCCGGAAGTTGATTAGGTTTTGAGATGGAGCGTGTGCGCTCTGCAACTCCAGTGCGGTGGATAAGCAGTTTCTTCCTGAGGCAAGACCACATGGAATGAACGTACGAGCCATATTGAGAGCTCAGGGCCTAAGAGTCGGAGGATATATGGGCACAGAGAAAGCGGGATCATCTCCCTTTCAGGCGTACCCCGCCGGCACGCCGCACTACGGCATACGAAGGGTCACTCGCAGGGTCAGAATGACAGTGGGTGACGTCTGCGGCCCGGATTGACGACCATTTCCGCAGAACGCCGCGACGATGCAGTACGTGCTCACCAGAATCTCTACCTCATTTTGAAGAGATGTTCAACGGCGACCATAACATGGTATGCTTGGTGTCAACTTGTCGAGCAAGAGAGGAGGTGGGATCGCACTGGCAGAGGTTTGATGATTGGTGGCCGTCCCCACCCACCTCGTAGCCTCACCGACCTGCTGAGACCCTCAGGTGAACCAGGCTAGTCCCTTACACCCTTCTGGGTTGTTGTGGGATGTGCCAGGAGCCCGAGGAGTGATCTGCAGGCTGGATTGGCCGCAATGGTGTCGGATGTAATGCCAATAGGGGCTACTGGCGAGCTGTTTCCCGGGCGTAGCCTTGTGCCGCGTCAGCGAGCTACTTGGGATATTCTACGTATGTGCTTCCCAGCTACATGAGACAGCCATCACATCTTCGAGACGATGCAGAGAGGGCTCTCAAGCTAGCGTCGGCGTCATCGTGGGCGAGGGCAGGGTCATGGTCTCGCACCCTCCCTGACTCTGGGCGCATCCATCCTATGGAGATCCTCGGTCAGCACGGTGCACGCGGAAGCCGGCGGCCATGGGTATCACTTGAGGACGCTCTGATACTCATAGCAAGTCGAGTCTGCGTTTAGATGTTCAGCAGGATAGGGGCTCTTCGCAGCTACCCATGTAATGGATCCTGTCCGTGAATGCCCGGCCCCGCATCGTCTCCGAGCACTGCACTTGTGTCCATTGCAGCTCCATACGTACATGTACCGTACATATCACGTTCGATATCTGCTGGGGCTCTCCCATATGAGACCCTTGTCGACTCGAATGTGACTGGGAGCATCTTTTGGATACGCGGGCTGAAGGGGATGCCGTCGCGCGCGAACAACTGGCACACCTTTTCCCTCCATAGAATGTATAATTATTGTGGTTCATTGAACGATGGAACATCGCACAACAGAGCTCTGGGTCCAGTACACGCGGTGATGGCTTTGACATGTACGGAGAACCGTGCTGCCATCCTCTCTTCGTTGGTTTTCCTGGATGGGTTTTACAACGAGAGCGCGGGGCTGGAACCCTATACTTTTCGGGTTGTCTTGGTAGTAGTCTGAAGACGGGACGTGTGCTCTCTCGGGCCTGGGCGAGTTACGTCACGGCGCACGGGAGTGCGCAGTGGCTCCTGGGGTTTTTACATTTTTTACCCAGGTTTTAGCCCAGGTAAGGCCGGCCTCTTGAGGTTTAACGGCGCCTGCTTGTTCCCCCCACGGAATAAAAGCCAGAGATTTGAGCTGGTTTGTAGTCAACGGTCTATGGATAGATAGCTAACGAAGGTATCGGGAGCATCCATTGTAAGGTGCAACGTTGGAATTGATGACCCCCGGATGTCGAGTCGTATACGAACTGAGGGAGCGATCGTTTAACTTGTATGTTGTATTACTGTAGTTCCCACGGTTAGGAGGATGTACGCGACCTACGATTCCAAAAATACCACCCACTCACTCACTCACTCACTCACTCGTCGCAAAAATCCCACGCCACCACAGGCCTTCGACGCGATCGGCTCCCTCCGAGTCCTCGCATTCACTAGCCGTCTCACCCTCACTCTCTCCGTATGGCACATCGGCTGACCCTCGTCTTCTCTATCCAGAGGTTCCCCGTAAGTTACACGCAAGTACACAAAATGCGCCGTCTGAGAACGATGACAAATAGAAATTGTGCTACCATGTCGCTTGGATGACCCCTACGGACTGCTTAGGCCTAGTAAATAGTCTTCGACTCCTGCTGGTGACTGTACTGGGTGTGGCACTGGTGCTGGCTACTACTTGATGCGGGGTCTCTTCGGCCTCGAATTCGAATTTTCAATTGCGGTTAGCATGGCATGGAACGACCTCAGGTCCCACAAGCACATAGCCCTCAGGGAAGCTCAGTGCTGCTTCTCGAAGGAATCTGCATATGCATCGTAACATATAGTATCATTCTCTACGACGATTGATGCACGCTTTTCGTTAATCTCCATGTACAAGCTCAACAACCCACACTAGTGCATTCCCTAGAACTTACTGCACTTACAAAAACTAGGGTGCTTTCGAAACCAAGTCGACACACACGCGGACTTATATATGAGACTCGTACGGGCCTGGGATATGTAACGAACTAAGTCTCAGTGGAACCGTAACAAGGTATCAGTCCACGATGGCAGTGTTCAATATATCGACGACTACCCACGCCTGAATCTCGCTCAACTGCCCGTTCTGGCGCATCTCGGACAGCCATGATTCCCGAGACGTCGTAAGGCGCGCGAACACGCGCAAGTACGTCTTGTCGATGACGCCCAGCGACGAGAAGAGCAGGGCAATGCGTTGCGCGTCTTCCAAGGGTAAACCTCGTGAGAGGAGCATGTCTTCGATAGCCGAAGACTGATGGGTCGACGTCTGGGAGCCACCGGACGAGGAAGCGGACCCGGGCGCGGCGGTGGGACATCGAGTACCGGAAGTGTTTTCGTTTGTTCTGCCGGTGGCCAAAGTCGACGAGCGAGAGATGTCACGATTCGGGGATAGGATGCTTCTCCGGTTCAGCGTGGGGCGGACCGATTGTATCTGTTTGTTGGGCCCGCTCTCGCCTGAGTGCTGATGCGTATACTCCTGAGCAATCTATGCCGGTCAATGAGAAACGTCAGAAGGTTCCGCACATGGGGTAAAGCAGTAGGAGCATACCAATGAACGGTTTGAGCTGAGCGATCCACGACTCAACCGCAAGGGCCGACTCCCTTCTCTATCCGAGTCTGAGTCCAAACCAGCATCGAGTCCAGCGCTCCCCGCATGGTGGCTCCAAGAGCTCATTTCCGTTCTGTGCACTTCGTCCTTCTACTCGTCCTCCTCCATGTCCAATGACGCATCAGTAGATTCATCCTGAGTGAGGTCGATGACTTCTTTATTCTTCTTCGTCAGCCTGGAGGAGCGACGCAGGGACCGCTTCGAACTCGACTCCACACTGACAGGTATGGCTTGCGACAGGCTGCTTAATGACGATTTTGACCCCTGGCTGCTTTTGAACGCTATGGACGGTCGCGCCGTAACAGTTTCACAACTGGTTTGTGCCTGTGTGAGAGAGGTAAGGACTCCGAATCCTTGCGTCACGACGCAGAGACTAGCAGGGCGCACGTATGAGGGCTTGCTAGTCGACCCCGGTCCGATAGCGTGCCTGTAGTCGGTCTGCGGAAGTCCACGATTTTTGAGAGCCCGTTTCAGGTAAAAGGTGATGGGCCACGCGTCTGCATATACTTCTTCCAGCGTAGGCCATTGGGCGAGGATCTATCCATCCAGGGGTAACTATCCCGGATCCTGTCCTCGAGCGGACCAGGGATGCCTACCTCCTCTCTAATCTCTTCTAGATGGCGTGGGTCCTGCGAGTTGTACGGAAACCTGATATCGACGTGACGGCTAGTTGCTTTTTTCATAACATCCTGCATCTTTACATCAGTAACTCGTGCAAGGTGGAGGGCTATCTCCACGTGCCATAATTTCGGAAAATGTCTCTGGGTCATCTTCCAAGTGCATTTGTCCTTGGAGAGTCGGCAGGCCTGGCTGATCAGTGCGGTAGATTGCGCCAGCACGTCGATACGGTTTCGGAATGGGAAATATGTCCGAGTCTACGAGAAACGGCCCCAGTGCAGCGGATAAGCACCCTCTTCCGGGGGTATAGCAACGACACTGTACAGATCAAACGTACCAGTCATCATGAGAAGACAGTCGTAAGGGAGAGTCAGAAGCGTTCATGGCCGCAAAGAAAGCGGGCCTTCGGCCTTTTGAGCTACCCCGGTGCTGCGGTACACGAGGGACGCCCGCACTCCCCGGGACAGGGTCAGCATACTACATATAATCAGTGACGGCGGTGGATCTGCGACCGCTGTGACCTAGCTCAGGCAGATTAATCACTCACTTCGATCCATGGGTTTATTTCTAGAGACGCTGACATAGCAATATTTGCAACGCCTTTTACCCACAACGCTGCCACTTGGTAGAGGATCGGAAGACTCTGGACCAGGACTCCGAAGACGGGAGCTGGCGTTCGCGAATTCCCACGCCACCGCGCCGACACGCCTCCGACTACTCTGAGTCTCCGACCCCTCGCGCCTCTCATTCGCGCTCACCCTCATTCTCTCCGTTTCATTACTGAACTAAGTTCCGCCCCCTCGCTCTGGCGGGCTCCCAGTTTACAACTGAATACTCCCAACTGGATCTTCCGGGAACGCCCTCTATCTTCTTGTCGTTTGGATGCTCTGCACGCTATGCTGGGATCTAAAGAGCAATTTTCGTGTCCTAGTGGACGCAACCTACGGGCTATCTAGATGCCCAAGCTCTCTCTTTTTCCTTGTATCTCGTCAGATTCAGTTTTGGGGCGCTATTAGAGCTACCGTGCATGGGGAGGACGTGGAACGACGCTCTCGTGGTCCGACGCGGACTTACACCTGGTAAATGCCAGAGCCTCCTCTTCTAGTAGATCTCTGCAGAAGTACTGGCGCGGAACTAGCCATCCTCGACAACGTACGCCCCACAACTCCTGTTCAGCTCGCTGTAGTCTTAATACACTTTTTCTTTAGGCTTCGCAGTTGTACTGCACAGAATACACCCCCGGAGACGTCACGCACAGTATTCTTATCCTCTTCTTGGACGAGTAGAGCCTCTGGAAAGATGCAGCCGTCAACTGGCTCGCGGACGAACTTGCTATGGAGTCTGATGTAACATCGCACTCTGGTGTGAGTACATGTCATTCGCCTCTAATTCGATCGACGCGGAGAGCTTTCACTGTGGGAACGGCGTCGTTGCATTATCTCGTCGCTGCGTATCAGGACCATCTCATGGGCTTGCTCATATCGACGAGAGATCTCCTGTCAAAAGCGGCAGGTATATTGAGCCGGATGGACCACGCTTTCAGCGGGAAGGCCCCGGGTCCCGTTTGCGGCGAAGATATGAGGGTGCGGCACAGGTGAGTATCTCCGTCAGACGCGGGTCAGCTGGTAGTTATACTGTTCTCGAAGATCTTCAGGTGTCGGTCGACACGGCTATCGATTTGTCTTCGGTGCCTAGTACTAAAAACGCAAATGCATCATCCTCGCCACGAACATGTATCCGTAGGACATCATGCACTCTCTCATTGACCCCCTGATCCGCACCTTCTGTAGCGGTATTCCTGGCTACATAGTGTACGTAGGCTCTATCACCGCAAAACCCACACATAGCCCTCCCGCATCAGTCCCTGATCACGGCATCTAGCATGTCGACCACAACCCACGCCTGGATCTCGCTCATCTCTCCCTTCTCACGCATCGCGGATATCCACGCCTTGCGAGACGTATCCAGACGCGCGAACACTCGCAAATACGTCTCGTCCGTGATTCCCAGGGCCTCGAAGAGTAGGGTGATGCGCTGCGCGTCCGCGGAAGGCAGGCCGCGCGCGAGGAGCATGTTTTCGATCACACCGACGGCGGACTGGGAGGTGGACGCATGCGGTGGGATCGATGAACGAACGACACCCGGGGAGGGCTCGGGTACGGGTGACGGCTGGGAGATACTCGGAGGCGTGACCATCGTTCTGCCTGTCGTCGGTGTTGTGGCCTTGTCGAAGGGACCGTCCGCGGACGGAGTGCGTCCTTGGTAAGGGGTGTAGTACACAGATCCTATGGCACTGTAGGCATCGTCCTCGGAGTCGCGTACGCGTTGATCGCTCAGGCAGAGGATATCCTGCGCGATCCGGTCTAAAACGTCAGCATGCCTTAGTTATCGGCGTATGCAGGCTCAAAACTCACGCGTGCAAAGTTGAAGGCAGGAAAACCGGTACTCTTGGGCCACTGCGAGAGCGGGCCCTCCTCCGACGTGCTGGACTCCTCGCTGACATTGCCGGGGTCTTCGTACGTAGGATCGGCGAGCTTCTCGCTCCCGGAGCTTGATATATCGTACAGCTCATCCACCAGCTCGTCAGCCTCCTCTTCATCCTCTCCCTCCTCCTCACCTGCCTCAATGCCGCGTGATATGTTTGGTGTCTTGGTAGGAACAGTCGTCTTGTCGCTGGTCTTTGCCCCCCTGGTAGATCGTTTCGAACTCACCGACCCCGCCCAGCTTAGTTCCATGCCAAGGGATCTTCTTGCAGGGGAGTTGCTCGAAGGTGCCGCTGCAGTCGAAGTCGAGGGCGTTTGTTCAGGCTCCGTAGTCACGCGTTTGGACGACTGCAACATATATGTCAGGAAGGTATGTACTTCCGATACCGGGTGGTCGGGGAAATTACGACGAACGTCAGAGCTCTTGGTACTCGCTGTGCTCGTACTCAACCCCGGTACCATCTTGTACCCATACCCTAGCGCGTGTTGCTTCATTGCGAGTTGGAGATACGAGTAGACCGGCCACGCGTCGACGTACATCTCTTCAAGCGTAGGGCATTGCTGGAGCACCTGTAAGGCCCCGTAAGCAAAGAGCACAGTCGACTCGAGTCGGGCGTAGAGACTCGAAGGATGGGACACGCCGGACGTACATCGTCCCTGATATCATCCAGGGTTTGCGGGTCCTGCCATTTGTACGGGAGCGTGAGGTCGGTATAGGACGCGGCCGTCTTGCGGATAAGTTTCTGTGTCGCATCAAGATTAAGTATGAGTGGGGGTGTCATAGAAAGGCCAAGCAACGTACCGTGAGTGCGGAGAAGGTCCTTGGGTCGCTCTCAAATCGCATCTGTCGCTGCAGCGTCGAGCTTGATTTAGCGCAGTGGTGAATTCTGTCGGCCAGTTTGTTCGGTTTAGGAATGGGGTAGATGCTCTTGGCCGTGTCGGTTCTCGGAGCCAGGGTCATTTCCTCAGAGCAAGCTCAGGCTCGGGATGTACCAGTACCAGTACCAGAAAGCAGTGGGAGAGAGATGGTGTTGTGCGAGACCGGCAGGCTTTTGAGGTGCTGACACAGGTGCTGCAGGGAGCGTCTGGTCTCCAGTTCAGCAGGCAAGGGTCGATGCACGCGCCGTGCACGTATCGGGACCGCTCAGTGCCGATCTGGTGTTGCAAAACGCCGCGGGGGGTTCCTGCAGACGCCCAAGATCTTGAAGTTCTCGCCCACGTGACCGTGTCTGGCTGCAGTCCGCGCGAGCACTCCGGAGGAGGCATTAATCAAGCAGTATGAAGGCATGGAAGTATGAGGTGCCGCTCAGGCAGTGCGGCCCTTCGTGTTTTGGGTAGCATTCATCACCGATTGGCGGCAGACGCGGCGAAGAAGGGTACAAGATCACCGTCCATGCATTGTCGAGAGACGTAACTGTAACTATGTGTTCGAATGCTTGGATTCTGTTTACCATGTGCAATGAGATTTACCAGCAGCTCATACCCGTATACTACCCTCATCTCACTCATGCCGTTTCTCGGAAAGTGTCAAGCACATCGCGGATAACCCCGGCCTCCACCTCGTCCAAGCTCTCCTTCTGGCGCATCTCCGATATCCAAGTCTCGCAGAACGTGAGGCGCGATAACACCCGGAGGCCCACCGTGTCGACGATGCCCAAGAAGACCCAGACGAGGAGTACCCATCCACCGTACGCACGGATCACCCCAGGCCTCACGCGACGCACACGACACGCGCTACCCTTAAGCACTTGTCTCATGTTCCGATTCCACAAAGAATCGGTCTTGCCTATGAGAAATGGATCGGTCACGTGAATCCAGGCGAACCCGGCTTCGTCCGTGAGTTTCCGTAAATTTCCTTCATTCCAGGGCGCTTGAATCAGCTTGCCTTTGTTTGTCCTTTGTGGCGTCTGCACCTCGCAACACGGACGCGACTCGCTCACTTTGCGTCCTATCCGCCTCGTCGACTTTTCACTATCGTCCCCCCTGTTCAGGGATTCCCCTGGATGCCTCCACAAAGCCTTTCTTGCGCTTTTATATCACTATATGCACCCATACCGATGGCTTACAGAGCACGCTGCGAGAGCTGATAAGTTGTAAGTGCCTTACTAGCGTTAGTATCCCCTCATATCGAGCAGTAGTGTCTAATTCGGTCCGCTTCCCCGCAGGTATCCAACGCGTCGAGAATATGTATTGAGATCGATACGTGGCCGCGGACATCATTCCGCCGTGCGACCCGTTCGCTCGTTGTGTGAGCTGACTGCAGCTGCATGTTGTGTGGTAGTGGTCGACTAGACTGCCCAGCGCCCGCGTTCGCACTCCACTGAGCTCGCGCGAGCTGGGCCTCACTCTTCTGTCGCCGTTTCTCTGGAGCATTCCTCAGCCCGTTGAAAGCCTTGGCAAGCTCGGTGTTCTGTCTTTCCTGCCGACTGCCACAAGCAGTCTCAGTTGCACGCTCAAACCGACCACCCGTCAGTGCTCCGCATGCATTCTCCTCGTGTGTATAGGTGGTTAATCTCGGTCTCACCTATCTCAAGCAATAATATAATGACACGCAGTGCCCGGCTCAGCGTCTCCGACCTCCACGCGAATTTCAGCTCATGTATATCATCGCGGTCGTGAGCCTTGCTGGCTCCGCCCGCGTCCCGCTCCTCCCCGTGATACTCCCGGTGCGTTGCATGTTAGAAGCAGAAGTCATGATTAGATTTACACGCGAGTACGATATAATTCCCATTGACGAGCGTGGCGCTATACTACTTGTATGCATCCGTCTCTCTCGTTGGGTTTACGAAGCTGTGGCAGATATCATCGCCGGCTCTCTGCCTCTGTCCCGGTGTTACAATGTGCCAATGTCCTGAACGGCTGCGTTCGTTGTCCTGTCATAAGATGCAGTCAATCATGTTATACCTGATAAGTTACAAATATAATCTGCAGTACCTAAATTAGTGGGATCGGATCTGGCGTGCGAAGCATCGCCGTTCACCCTCAAGTCGGATCCCCTTCGGTCAATCCATTCGTGATCAGGGACATGTTTATTTCACGCGGACTGTCGGTCGCAGACGCACAACGCGTCGCGCTTCTTTTATCGTCTGATGAACTCCACGTCATAATCGCTTTTTTCGTTCTGCTGAGAGTCGACAAGATGCATGTCAGCGCGTTGTTGACGCGTATACAGGTGCACATAATAAATGAAACGCTGGCGTACATATTCGTCAATCCCCGGAGAACCCTCGGTTGCGCTAATGATCGACGCAGTCTCTGCGCTAGACATGCGTGTTTTCGAATGGGCGTTCCCCGAAGAGTTACTGGGCTGGGAGCTCGCAGGGCACTCTTTGCTCTCGCATTCACTGTCTGACAATTCCAAGATGTCTTCGACAGCCTTTTCGGATGGGCTGTAGGAGCGAGCGATGGCGCGGTTATTACTGGTAGTCGACGTGGAGAAGGAGACCTTGGCTTTCTCCGTCATATACTGAGTCTTCTGTGTTCCCTGTCGTGAAGGTATGGCCACGTACGCACACTTGTTAAGAACGGGCTTAGTGGTCGGCTGCGCGAAGGTTAGGATCGAAACGGACGCCATGAGGGAGAATGAAAGAGATACCGTAGCAGGTCCACACCTCGACCCATAACCCCCCTTCGACTTGTTTCCGCCAGACTTGTGCTCCTTGAGTGAACGTCTCAGGTACGAAGTGATCGGCCACGCGTCGACATAGACCTCCCCCAGAAGCGGGCACTGGGCAAGTATCTGGACGGCGTACACACATAGTTTAGTATGCAGCCCTCAAGAGAAGTAGAGAGTGAGGATGAGCTACCTCCTCCTTGATATCCTCCAACGTTTGCGGATCCTGCCAGACCCAACTCTTTGTGAGGTCGATGTGTCGCGCTGCAGTGCGCCGGATCATTCTCTAAATGTCGAGGGCGTGAGTCGCGTCCATCACCACTGATTGACAGTACGGAGGACGACTTACCACAATCTTGAGGAACGTCTCCCGGTCGTGTTCGAGGCGCATCTGCTCTTGCAGCGTCGCGAATCCCGGGCGTATAGTGCGGTGCACCCCGCCAGGTAGAGCTCTCGGTGCGGGAACCGGCGTCGTACGCTTCAATGTACTGATCGTTCCGCGGTCCATGGCGCTTGCAGATGGCACTGAGGATAGCGAGTGCAGTCAAAAGCAAGCGTACGAGGAACGTTTTGCAACTTTATACGCGCCGCGAGCTACCGCAGCACTGCGTCTGTTCTCCGAGGATTCCCAATGTGTCGTCGAGATGCATCGAAAGGAGACTGAGTCGAGTCACATCCTTCACGGCTGTAGAAGTGACATGTCGGCGCCCGCCCCTGACAGCGTAGAGCTTCTGTGGGAAGACCCGTTCAGAACTTAAGCTCAAGAAGCCTATGCGGGCCTTTTTTTGATTGCGGGGAATTGGAAGAGCGTAGAACATGTGAAGTTCGTTGATGCAGCCGGGAGCGGGGAGGTGACACCATTCCAGTCTAGTAGAGCATCAACGCACTGACGCACCGTATCCTGATTACAACATTTGTTTGAACTACATGATGTTGAGTACCGTTCTATCCCTGGTTTTCATAGCGGCCATCGTGCTTCGCATAGCGCCTCCTGCAAAAGTACAACCGGAATCAGCCACAAACCCACGCAACCGTCCGCACCTTCGCATCCCATCTCGCACCCCCGGCCGTCCATCGACATGCGCAAAAAAAACCTTTCAATACGCCGTTAATTCCCAACAGCTCGTACCCCTGTACTACCCTCATCTCACTCACGCCGTTTCCCGGACAGTGTCAAGTACATCGCGAATTACCCGAGCCTCTATCTCGCTCAAGCTCTCCTTCTCGCGCATCTCCGATATCCAAGTGTCGCAGACCGTGAGACGCGAGAACACTCGCAGGCCTGCCATGTCAACGATTCCCAAAGACGACAGGAGGAGCGCGACGCGCTGCGCGTCTGCGACGGGCAGGCCGCGCGCAATAAGCATGTCCCTGATTGCGAAAGGATGGCCCGAAGGGAATCCTGCATGAGACCGGTTGTTGCCAGTGGTATCGGGCGTGGGGCGTGTTGTGTGAGTCGTGTCAAGCCTCGGGTGCTCCGGGTGCACGATGCTAGATGGACTGGATGGACGCTCCCGGTCCTGGATGCAGTAGTTCAAGTACTCCGAGTGATCGTCGCTTTCGCTCTTCAGCTGAATGTACACGAAGAGACACGTTGTTAGTGCGTATTCAGCTAAGGAAGTGCGGACATACATAATCGTTGTCTTGAGGAGAGCCCTCGACGGCGGCCGAATGAGCAGTCTCGGAGCCGATGTGGTATGTTTCCGAGTAGATATCACCCGACGAGCCGCAAGGGAAGGGGCTTGCATGGTCGTCGTCGCTCTCGTAACCGTCGTCCGACAGATCCAATATCTCTCTAACAGCCTCTTCAGACGGACTGCGAGCGTGACCAGTGGCACGCCTGACGCTAGTAGTCGGCGCGTGGAACTTGAATCCGGAGGCCTTACCGCTAACCTCCTTCGCCGTATCGTGAGTCTTCTGTGTCCCTTTCCGCCGGGACAGCACGGCGACATATGCGAACGAAGCAAGGGGGGACTTGGTGTTCTTCTGTGGGAGGGTCAGATTTCAATCGCAAAGCAACCGAGAGAACGATCAGAAAGCAGACTTTGAGAAGCTCGTTCTTGTGCTGCTGCTGCTGTATTCGCAGACGGGTTTCGGGGCTTTGGTGGTACTTGAGGGCGATCCTTAGATACGAGGTAATTGGCCATGCGTCGACGTATACCTCCCCCAGAAGAGGGCATTTGTCGAGTACCTGAATATCCCCAAGTTGGAGCTTCAGAATAGTCATTCAAGCGAATGGCAGGTAGAGAGTACCTCGTGCATGATTTTCTTCAACATTTGTGGATCCTGCCGGCAATAGCGCAGCTCGAGGTCGACGTGTCGTGCCGCGGTACGCCGTATCAATTTCTGTACGTTGAATACTTTAGGTGCATCCATGAGCGGTAAAAACGTCGCAGTGCATACCACTATCTTTCGGAACGTCTCACCGTCGTGTTGGAGGCGCATCTGCTCTTGCAGCGTCTTGTAGCCCGTGCGCGCCGTGTAGTGCACCGCGGCGGGTAGAGCTCTCGGTACGGGAACCGGCTTAGTACGCTCCGATGTACTGGTTGTAACGGGGGGCATGGTGCTTGCGCAGCGGGGAAGAGAGCGAGTGGTGCGCAAGCGGGAGCGCGAGAAATAATTTCCAGTCTTATACGCTCAGAGAGCTACCGCAGCACCCAACGAGGACTCCCAATACGTCGTCGAAATGCCCTGAGAGGTATCGAAAGGAGACTTGAGTCATATAAAGTGAAATATCGCCAGCCCTGACAATACCGAGCTTCTTTGGGGAACCTCTAGAACCTGAGCTGATGAAGCCCATTTGGGTCGGCGGTGACTGCAGGGAATGGAAACGGCGTAGCTCGCGAAGTATGTTGACATAGTAGTCGGAAGCAGGGAGGTAACATCCTTCAACTTCAGTATACCATCAACATGACTGACGCACCGGCGTGTCCCTCGGTATACAGCCTTTGAGTAAATTACATGATCTTGCAGTTCGGTCTGTCCCCGGAATTCGTCGTGGCCACAACGCTCAGCGCCTCCTGAAAACGTACAACTCGAATCAGCCACAACACCACGCAGTCGTCCGCACCTTCTCATCCCATCTCGCAACCCCAGCCATCCCTCAAAACACGCATCCGGAACCTTCAACACCCAATCGTCAGCAATCCTCGTCCTCAGCCGCACGCTCAACCAACTCACGCACCACCCGCGCCTGGATCTCCGTCAGGCGCCCCACGACGCGCAGCTCCTCCAGCCACGCGTCGCGCGTGCGCATCTTCCCGAACACGCGCAGGTACGCCGCGTTCGTGACGCCCAGCGACGCGAGCACGCCCGCGAGGTGCTCCGCGTCGGCGCGGGGCAGCGCGGACGCGACGAGGCGCGCGACGATATCCTGGGGGGTACTGGAGGCGCGGGAGTGGGCTGAGGGAGCGCGCGAGACGGTTTCGAGGGTGTGCGTGGATGCGGCTCGGAAGTGCCTGGACGAGGGGAGGGGGGAGGGAGATTGGGTGCTGGCGTGCGTGATGGAGGGGGACGTGGGCGGTATGGAGCCTCCTGAGGAGGTTGGGCCACAGCTGCCGACTGCCGATGCCTGTGAGAGACGGTGATTTAGTAGAATATCGATATTGCGCCGGCGCATAATAACAGCACGAACTTCCGGGTCTTTGCTCTGCAGGCGCGAACGTGGGCACGAGCCGCGTGAGGTTGGAACAGGTCTCTGCAGAGAGCTATATGTGAGTGGCCATTTGTCAGTCACCAGACGAGAGAAGCTGAGATCGTACCGTGAAGCTATCGTCCCGAAGCGGTTCTAGGATATCCTCCCATTCTGCATGCTCCTCCCCGCTGTAGTCATCGTCCTTGTCGTCTTTGCTGCTGTATTCGACTGACGCTTCTGATCCACGCCAGTCGTGGCTGCCCGACACAGTTGACGTGCCTCGCTTTGCTATCATGACGAATGCATGGTTAGTCGGGGTCGCCACTCTGTTGCTAGAGGGAGTGGGCGCTACGCTGCGCATCGGGGGAGGCTGCAGAAAAATCAGCGCTACGGTATAGCACAGCAGGCGGCGGGGGCGTACCAGTGGCGTCCTTGCGTCGGTGCGACGGTGCCCTTTCATCGCACAGCGGAGGTACGCGGTGATCGGCCATGCGTCCTCGAAGTTGTAGAAATTTGGAGCACGATCCAGAACCTGTTGCCACAATGAGTATATGAAGGACAGAGCTATGAGAACATGAGGCGCACCTCCTTTTTGATTCGTCGGAGCACGTCTGCTCCCTGTCTGCGGTACGGAATGTTGAAATCTGTGTACTCTCTCGCTGTGCATCGAACGATCCGCTGTGACGGAATGATCAGACCGAACAGCCGTCACGGCAGAGAGAGAGTGCAGTCCACCATCAGATACATGAATTCGCCGGTGAGGCCGCCCATCATGTCCATCGCCTCCTGGATGGATAACTCGTCTGAGCCATCTTGATGGTACACTCGTTTGGGGAGCGGATCCGGGGGAAGGATTGGTTCGTAATTTTCATCAGGGACTACAAAGCCAGTTGAGTGTGACTACGCCTGTCGTTTGCGTACTACTTACGCGGCGGGTCTAAGCTCGCAATACGCTCAGGCGTAAGCATCTCTGCGAGCCGAGCGGGAGTGAGGACGTGGCAGGGCATGTCGAGCAGGCGAGGAGGAGGTGGGGGCAGATGGCAGATACGATGCGCGGCCTGCGGTATTAAGTGAGGCGCTGCTCGAATCGAAGACAGGACGCCGCCGTCGTCCCTGCACAACTCCGCGGTCTGGCCCAACGCGTCGAGCACAAACTCTAACGCGTCTTGCGCGAAGATCACATGACCGTGTTATGCCAAGGAATGACATCACAGCGGTAGGTTCGGCATAATCCGAAGGGCCTAGATCCAGACGTGGGGCCCAGCGCTGGCTTGGCAAGTCTTTCCATGTCTCCCCGAACCTACGCAGACTCTCGCGATGTTTCCACCTCTTCAGCCCGAAAACCGACTTGCTTGCCTCTGAAGGTCGAGCATGTCGGCTATGATACGTTGCGCGATGATCCAACGCCTACGCATGCCCCGCTGCCATGCGCTTCATGTGAACGCCACAAGGCAAGGACTCGCATGCATGGAGCAGATGCATATACGGTCAACCATGCCGGTAAAACAGGTCGTCAGCGCGGTTGCAGCGCCGGAGGCATCACTCCAGCCCCCCAGGCTCACTCCACCCCGCCTACCGTTTCGTGATATCATCGCACACACCGGTCGTATATAAGCTCTCTCTCTCTCTCGACCGCCTACTACCACGCCCTCCCGCTTGGCACGACATAGCTCATCATGTATCGTTGCTTGCCTGCCCTCTGCCTCGCCTCCTCAGCTCTTCTGGTCTCAGCGACCCCTCGGATCTGGTCTATCGAGGAAGTAGCTACTTCCCCGAGTGCAGTCGCGGGAGTCTCCATTCCGCACCGTGAGTTTTTGTTTGGTACCCGTTTATATTGGTAGCTCATCACCGGCGTGCGGCTAGACAAGAGGCAAGTCATTAAAGGCCCCGGAGGGTACCGCTTCAACGTGCTTGAACATCTGGCCGGAATTGCGCCCTACTTCGATTCTCCGGGAGTGCAGCTCGATCCTAGTCCGCCCGACGGGTGCACGGTGACGAAGGCGACGTACATCGTCCGTCATTCGAACATTTTCGCGAACGACGTGTGTGCTATTCAATGCGCGTGCTTAAATCACACCTCACTCCGCCTCCTCTCCACAGTTTGACTACGAGACGTACCTCTCTCCCTTCCTTTCCAAGCTCGCCAACTACTCGGACAGGTCTGCGTTCACGAGCGCACCCGACCTGGCCTTCCTCACCAACTACACCTCCCCAATCACGAACGAGACGGAGCAGATCGAGAAGTTGACGCCGTCTGGTGGCGACGCCGCGGCCGCGTTCGCGGGTGTCATCAAACAGACATATGCGAGTCTTCTCAACAGCACAGAGGCTCAGGCCGGCGCCTTCAGGATATGGGCTGCGTCAGGTTCGTGGGCGCTCCCATTCCGCGCGAACGTAGCTGATTATTTCCGCAGCGAGCAGAGACGTGGACACCGCGAACGCCTTTATTGGCGGCCTCGGCAACAACGCGACGTTAGTCGTGGTGAACGAAGGCGAGAACGACAGCGCGGATTCGCTCACGCCGCACGTACGTTCCTACCAGCTCGCTAGCCATTCGCTCGCGACCTAACCGCTTTGCCCCCACTCTAGTCTTCGTGCCCCGCATTCGACGCGGCCCTGGGCTCCGTGCAGGCCGGCGCCTGGCAGCAGAAATACACCGCGCCGCTCATCGAGCGCTTCAACGCCGTCGCGCCCGGATTCAACTTCACGCTGACCGACATCGTCGGCATGCAGGAGCTGTGCGGGTACGACACCGTCATCCGCAACACGAGCGACTTCTGCAACGCGTTCACCGCCGAAGAGTGGCTCTCGTTCGAGTACGCGAACGACCTGCAGTACTTCTACAGCATCGGGTGAGCGCCGCCTTCAATTTCCCCGCCATGGCACAGCGCGCGCGACTGACGAGCGCCCCAGCTACGGCAACCCCATCGCGCCGCAGCTCGGGCTCCCCTGGGTGCGCAGCGCCGTCGACATCCTCTCCGCGAACGACACGTCCACCTTCAACCAATCCCTGTACATCTCCTTCTCGCACCGCGAAGAGCCGCCGCTCGTGCTCACCGCGCTCGGGCTGTTCAACAACTCCGCGTACTACCCCGCGCTCGACGTGAACAGCACGATGCCCGCGGACCGCGTCAACAGCGCGCGCGCGTGGCGCACGAGCGAGATCCTGCCCTTCCTCGGGCACGTCGGGATCGAGCGGCTGCAGTGCAGCAATGCGACGATTGATTCGGCCTCTGGGGGCGCAGGGGCGGAGGATGTGGGGGAGGATGGGGCGTACGTGCGCGTGCTGGTGAATGGGGCGCCGATTCCGGTGCCGGAGTGTCAGGATGGCCCGGGGGCGTCGTGTGCGTTGGCGAGCTTTGGGGCGTATATTGCGCAGAGGGCGGCGGTGTATGGGGATTTTATTGGGGCGTGCGGGATCAACGATACGGTTGCCAACCGTACGGACTTGTTGAGCATCTATAACGCATAGTGGATGCGCGGACTGCAAACTCACATTACGGACACTGTTACGAACACTCATCGATTTGCTGCATACTTTACATCCACTCCATGGACATGACATCGTACACGCCTTTGCATAGCATATTCTTACCCCCTACGACCTACTGTAATATTATCCGACTCTCATCGAAGTCTGGTTACGAAAGTAGCTCCATGAGTGAGAAGGTGTAAGATCAGACGAAGCGGACGCTGACAACTTCGGCGCGCGGGTCGCTCACGGGCGCCTGCACTGCTTGACTCCCGCCACCACCATGTCCGCCCGCCTCAACCTCGACGAAGAGGTCCGGCTCTACACCACCAACGCCGAGCGCGAGAAGTACGGCCTGCTCGCGACGCTCTTTGGCATCATCGTCTCGCTGGAGTACCTCGAGCGCGCGTACGTGCGCGACTCGGTCTCCGCCTCGGAGTGAGTGCCCATTCCTCTCCCCCATCGGCCTCGCGCGGGTGCGCAGGGAGCGTGCCCTTGATTGGTTTCGGGACGCTGAGCAACACGATCAAAGAGGTACTCTCCCGCATGTGTCCGGCTGCTGTCGCAGTACAAGACGATGCTCAAGCTCGTGAACGACGACGTGCCGTCTATTGAGCAGTTCATGTCCCGATATCGGGTACGTTCCATCACCGCACTTCTCTCGCGAGCTGCTGTCTCAGTCGATGGACGGCCTACATAGATGGATCACCCAGCCGCGCTACATCGGATACAAGTCGGAGTCCCCGCGACCGTCGAGCACTCGAGCGAGGCGGGGCCGGAGACGGCGAAGTGGGTCGCGGAGACGACACAGGTATGCACCGCACCTCCCGCGTTATGTCACGTAGATCTCACATCCGATGGCAGAACTTCATCACGTTCGTGGACGCGCTGAAGTTGCGCATGCGCGCGAAGGACCAGCTGTACCCCGTGCTCCAGGAGCTGGTCACGAGCTGCGCGCGCTTCAAGGGCAGCAAGGACTGGGAGGGCCAGAGCAAGATGGTTGGCTGGTGCGTCGGGGTGCTGTTCATATTCTTCTGGATGTGCAGCTAAACGGGAGTGCGCAGGTTGATTGCGCTGAATGGTATGAAAGCATCGGAAGAGCTCACGGAGGAGCAGGCGAGACAAGTAAGTATCCCCCTATGCATGTATCATCATGCCGCGCTCATCAACTGGCTGTAGCTATCATTCGACATCGAACACGCATACGCCGAGTTCTTCAGGAGTCTCAGCGGCAAAGATGGTGGTACGTGAGATCTGGCATGTGAAGGACAGGAGATGTAATTAGTAGTTGGGCTGCGACGTTGGGTGGATGATATACATGTATACTATGACAGACTGCTGTGACAATCACCGCTTTATGCGCTTCGCTACTCCCAGGACCGAGCTTTATGGACGCACTGAGCTCCCCTGTGCCGTGTGATGACTGCTGGTGATGACTAGAATAGGCACGAACGCCGAGCAGGGGCCAAGGCGCGGGCGCTAGCGCGGTGCAGCGCTCTTGGATATGTACCCGCACATGGCTGTCCCCCGTCCGCAGTTCCTGACCTCCTACTCCCACCTCTTTGCTGCTCTTGCGCCCCCACTTTCTTGATATACCCTGCTGCTTGTGCACACCCATCGCGCTGATCTCATGGTATCGACACACAACCCGTTTCGCACGCCAGGTGTGACGCCAACGCCCACGGGAGCCTCGACGAGCAGCCCGGATCATGTACAGACCTCTGCACGTCCGCCAGGTCAATCACCGCCAACGCCGCCAGCAGCAAGAAGCCTGACGCCCGAAGACAGATCCGTGAACGAGCTTCTCACCGAGGAGTTTCCCCCAGCATACACCCCCGCGCCGAACGTCTACGACGGGGAGGCGACACTCGAGCTCGGCCCCAGACGACCATTCCAAAGCGCGGTCCCAGTCCCCCCGCAGAATCAGCCATCATGGGTGACGCCACAGCCCACTGCGGGGAGCTGGACAGCCTTCCCGGGGAACATGCAGCGCGAATCGGCGAACATCTACACCCGCCCGGCACCGCCGCCTGCGCACCCATCCATGCTGGGCAGACGACCGACCTCCTCCCCGGGTGCGAGTGCGCCGTCGCCTAATCTGTCTGACTTTGCGCGGGACTTCTATGCGGCGGGGGCGGCGGATGTGAACGCGGGCGTGCTGGGCGGGTCGAGTGCGCAGTATCAGGGCGAGACTGTCGGTGCGTCTTCATCGCGAGGCTACGCGCCGCCATCAGGGGAACCACCGATCCGCGGTACGAAGAGCGGTCCGACTTCTCCAACGTCGCCTGGACGCGAGCAAATCCCGGATGATGGTCGTCCGACGGACAAGCCCGTACCCGGGCACCCGCTCATGCGGTACGGGAAGGTACTGGTGTATCCAAAGGACCACGAGTGTCGCAAATGTACGCGAGACGATGCTTTTCCGTGCGCTGCGTGCTGAACTGAGTCAAATAGGTTACAACACCGGGTACAAGGGATACGACCCCTCACATCCATGCTCGCGCTGCTGGGAGAAGTACGCGAAACCGTACACAGGTCCTATGGCGTACGCTCCCTGGGGCACGGACTCCAGCCCCGGCTCCAGCGCCGCGCGCACGTCACTCCAGCGACCACTGCCACGGTTCCGCGCCCCTCAGGCGTCCGTACACCAGCAGAGCTCGTCGTACTCCGGGCTGTCGGCGGCGCGCGGGGACCTGGGGCGTTCCGCGTCAACGTCGCGTGTAGGCAGCGGCTACCCTGGTGCAGCCTCACGCGTCATCCCCGTCGCGGGCGGCGGCGTGCCCATGAACGCGTACCTAGATCCGCTCCAAGGGCGCGGCCGGTCTGTCTTCCCACCTCCGTCGTGGTCGGTCGCGCCGACGAATGGGATCGCGCCCCCACCGGGCAACGCCCCGGTGTACTCGCCCGGGGACCCCAGGATAGGCGGCCGACTGTGCTGGCGGTGCGGGGGCGACGGGAAGACGTCGTTCCTGATCTTCGACCAGGAGACATGTAGGGTGTGCAACGGCGTCGGAAGGACTTTTGTATAGACGTGTGCTGATGACGCAGCGGACTGCTTTGTACGTTTGGCTTGGACAGGTCGGTTCAGGACTGGGGCGCTGTGCGTCGTGTACTGCATAGGTAACGTGTACTTTGCTAAGATAGGTTGTGTATGCTCATCGCTATAGTCTGATCCGACGAATCTGCGTAGCGTATCTTCGCGGAAGTGCGTGTCGAGCTGAGCTGAAGACGGTGCCTTGGGCTCGTGAACGGTAAAGCAGCCTCATGTTCGCAAGTGAATATTCGTTTTGGAGACGAGATAATGTCCACGTGTTAGCTAGCATCGATCACAGCAGGCCCGTGCTCGCATATGTGAGTATCTTACCATCATTCTCACTAGTGCTCGTTGTACTGATACACTCCCGTCTCCATCACTATCGTCCAGGTATGAGCACACAACCTGGGCTGCTCTCGCTCAACGACGATGCTCTGCTTTCGATCTTCTCCTTCCTCTACGGCGAGGACGCCCTTGCCGTCGCGCTTACCTCAAGACGTTTACACGACCTCGCAATTTCTCGCGTCTCTACCATCGCAGTGGCCCGATCCCGCCGTGCACTTTCGCGATTATGCGATTACATGTTACATGGCCCCCAGCCACGCGCTCGGTGTATGGAGGATTTAGACGTTTGGTGCATCAACCTCGACGACATCAGCGACACAGGGATTCCACACGATCGTCTTATCGCCGACTTATTAACGGCCGCGCAGAACCTTCGTAAGCTCGCATTATTCCGCCTGCCGCAATCGCCCGGACAGCGCTCGCGCATAATGGAGGCGATGTTTTCAATGCGGAACCTGGTCGACCTACACCTCGGCGACGTCGACGAGCATACCCTTGCCCTTCTGCCAATGCTGAGCGGACCCTTGAAACATCTCGATCTTTGGTACAAGCGCACCTGCCAATCGGCCGCGACGGATGCTGCTCTCCTCCATGCGCTGACGAAACACGCGCGGCTCCGTAGCCTTGCACTGCACAACTTCATGCCGTCAGAGCCGTCCCTCTACGCCCTCCATGCAACATCCCGGTTCCCCTCCCTTCGTCACCTCTCCATCGTAACGAACACAGCGGAAGCCCTCCGGTTTGTGAGCCTCTTCCCACAGTTATCCCTTCTCGCCCTGGTCCTCGATGAGGCTTCGGTTCCGCTGGCCCCGTCTGACTTTGACACCATACCCCGCTGGCCGCTGCTGAAAGATTTCTACGCGCATACCGAGCTCGCCCGCATGCAACACTTCATCAACCGGGTAGAGAACGTGGTACTTCTGCGGACCATGATGCCCGGCGAGGTAGTCGCATTGCAGGTCCCGCTCGCGGCCATGCTCCGCGCCGCATCCCCCGTCCGGCTCTCCCTGTCCATGTGGGCAGAGGAATCTACCTTGAACATGCTGGGATTGATCCTAGCGACCCTCCCTCGATTGCGTACACTGAACCTCCGACTTCATCGTATCCGGGACATTGCGGACGCCGCCTCGGAGGAGCAGTGGCTAGTGGGTCCCCATGCTATATACCTAAAGTCATACACAATGCTCATCATAATCACCGTTTCTCAGCTCAGCAACGTGAGGCTTCTGGGGAGGCTCCGGCTGGCGAGCTTCCGCTTGATTGTCACCTTCATGGATCTGGCCTCCTTCGATTCGCCAACCCCTCCTCAGCCGGAACATGAGCAGCGCACGGCAGCCACGGTCCCGCTTCGGGTACAACTGGTCCAGGCAATACCGACGTTACGTCTCCTCGGTGTTGTCTCCGAATATTGGGTCTCTGCGAGCGCGACGCCTACGAAAGAGGATGACCCTGGCAGCGCAGACGATGCTGCAAATCAGTGGTACACATCGCCATGGGACAAGCCGATTACGCGTAGCCAGTACCATCGGCGTTGGTGGTGTACCGGAGAGGGCGCGGGGCTGACAGAGATCTCCTCGAAGGAGGCGGAGAAGTTGATGCAAGAGCTTGAGCGTTCTGTCATATCTGGATGAACCCCAGCGTTGTCCCCGGCACGAGAGTAAGTGTTGTAACAGTAGTAAGTGCTCGAATCCATTCGTTCTAGCCTTGCAACTAACGCATCCCATACGATGACATAGCTTTCGATGTACTTGAGTACCTCGGGTCATGTTGCCACGGGTATTCCACAGCCTATCTTGTCGCGGGTCAATATTAACGACAAGGTGCCTCATTCTATGGATAGTACTATACGGTCCGCAACTTTCCAAACAGCTTGACCCTCCGCTAAGCCGCAGAGGCTTATGGGAAGTCGTCCGATCGGAAGGGGGACATGGGATGATTAGGTGCCCATCCGGCTCCGCCGTTCGCGAGTCGGCCGCGGCGCCAGCCACGCCGGGCGCACCTTCCGAGTCGGACCCGGCGCCGGCGCCACGTTTGAGACCCCAGCCCTCCGTGCTTCAAGCCTCTCCGTCTCCATCCTTGACGGCGTGCACACCACCCAGTGGCCGCGGTCGGTGCCGAGCTGTCTGTACAGATGGGCCCGGTGCGCCGCCAGTCCAGGAGCGGTCGCTCGCGCGCCCAAGTTCGCGTCATGGTTGCGCTCAGCTCGTGTTGGACGAGGCCGGGCCTCCTGCTCGTTGTACGGGTTGTACGGTCGAGCCCTGAGGCGTTCAGCGAGGGGCTTTGGAGTAGCGGACATACGGGGGTCCGCACTAGCCCTGATGAAGGCTCTGCGTACGCATGTCTCTTCTTCGTCGTTGCTGACCACAAACTCGACCTCCAGCTCACTTCTTTCGCGCTCCCCAGATATTCGTCCCTTGATCTCGAGGGGAATCGCAACGACTCGACCGGGTCCATGAGAGGGGGGACACAACAGGTGGAGGTGGACTGCATCGCCGGCTTGAAGAGGGTGCGCAGGAAAGAGCGCGACTGCGTACATTGCCGTTTGTGATCCTGGTGACGCAGGGTTTCTTATGGAGAGAAGAGGCGTGACGTAGACAGGGACGTAGACGGGCGCGTGCTCTCGGATTGACAACATAACGCTGGTGGCTACAGGGTTTGTTCAGGAGGTGCGAAGGATAGCGCACTTCTACTGTCTATTACTCACCCTTATCCCTTTATAGAGAACCTCCAAAATCTTGTTTCCCGGAAGAAGCACAGAGCTGTGTGATGAGCGCGCAATTCAGATTGGTGATTGTGTTACGGCGTGTAGGAATTTGACTGCGTACGCTGTGCGTACTACCAGCTCGCCATGACCGCGGTGTCCCAGACTCGTAAACGGTAAAACAACCTCGCAAATATTTGGAGGCAGACGGCGACCTACATATTAATCGTATTTGTGCAGAGATAACTAAAGTTCACACGCCAGGAAGCAGTAATATCAACGCCGATCGCAGCAGGCCTGTAAGCATCTTACCACCATCATCGGCAGAGCAGCACTCGATATACTCACGCTCTCGTCTTCGTTGCTATATCATCCAAGATCCAGCCATGGACGCACGACATGGGCTCCTCTCGCTCAACGACGATGTTCTGCTCTACGCCTTCTCCTTCCTCTACGGCACGGAAGCATGCGGCATCGTGCTTACCTCAAAACGTCTACACGCCCTCGCTAATCGTCGTCTTGCCGCGAGTGCAGAATGCTCTCACCCCTTCGCATTCTTGCCTCTTTGCAAGCATCTATTACAAGGTCCCCAGCCACGCGCCCGGTACCTCGAGATATTAGACCTGCGGATCGATGGCATCGACACGGTCTACGACGCAGAAGAGGTGCCGTACGGACGTCTGCTGACCGATCTGCTAGCAGCTGCACAGAACATCCGCGAGCTCATCCTATCTTGCCGACCAGAATCGCTTGACCCATGCTCTCGTATAGGTCGTACTCTGGTCACAATGCGGCACCTCGTCGACCTGCGTATCCGCAACGTCGACGACGATGCCCTCGCCCTCCTGCCGATGCTGAGCGGGTCCCTGAGACGTCTCGCTCTGTGGTATAGCTCGACAGCTCCGCAGTCGACCTCATCACAGAACGCCCTCCTCGGTGCGCTTACAAAACACCCGCGGCTCGAAAGCCTCGAACTGCGATACTTCAGCCCACAACGACCGTTCGTCGGTGTCTCCTCCGCTGATCACCCCCAATTCACTTCCCTCCGCTGTCTTTCCATAAAAGAGGGCAGTGTTGCAGCGACTTCGCTCATCGACCTCTTCCCACACCTAGCCCTTATCGCTGTACACGTATCCCATCATCCGAATGCGCCGCTCCCGATGGGCATGGTCGCTGCATGGCGCTGGCCGCCGCTGAAGGTGCTATACATGGACGAATCGTTCGCTCTCCTCGCGCAACACCGCGTCAGCCAGGTGGAGAAGATCGTCATCATGAATGAGATGCGGCCCTCCGACGTGCTCCTGCTGCGGGACCCGCTCGACGCCATGCTTCGCGCCGCATCTCCTGTGCAGGTGTCCCGGTTCGTTTCGGTGGAACCAGGCGCTATGCATGCGTTGGCGCGGAACCTCGCGGCCTTGCCCAGGTTGCACACCTTGGAGCTCTGCCTGCAGCGTAAAGACTGGGAGCAGAGATACATCCCCGACCCGGAGGAGCAGTGGCTGGTGAGTCCTCGTGCTGTCAGGCTGAGATTACGTGTCCAGCGCTCATACTAGGAACTATCGTTTCCTAGATTGACAGTGTGGCATCCCTAGGGCACCTCAAATTGAAGAGTCTCCGCTTAATCGTCTATGTGGACCTGGCACTCTTCGACTCGCCGATACCTATCGAACTATCAGGCCGAGAGCAGCCTATAGCGGCGGCGGCGGCGGTCCCGCTTCACGTCAAGTTGACCAGGGCAATACCTACACTACATCTCTTCGGCGTTGTCTCCGAATATTGGACCACGAACACGAAGCCGCTCGGGAAGTGCGACTCTGCCGACAGGACTGAAGCTGCAAACCCGTGGTACGTGGCCCCATGGCTCAGGCCGATGACCCGCTGTGGGTACTATCGGCGCTGGTGGTGCCGCAGCGCTGGAGATGGAGCAGATCTGGCCGAGCTCTCCGAAGACGAGGCGAAGAAAATGCACGTCGAGCGTGCTTTCGCCTAGGGGTACAGCATTGGTAAGTACCTTGAATCAAGTTGGCGACCGTTCTACAGCCTGAGTACGCAGCATCACCTTGATAATGCATTTAGACTATCTCGACGTCTACCATAGGCATGTCCGTACTGTACCAGCCTAGTTCCTCGATGCTCGAGTCCTCTATCTCGAAGTACCCGATCCGCCGATACACCTTCCTGCCCTGTTCTGAAACTATACCGCCCTCCGCTAGTGCCAAAACAAGCCCCACCACCATGATAGTCTCATCCCCGTCGACGTCGTCGGGTTGTCGCGACATCAACACAATCCACAGCTTCGGAGGGGCGTCCATGTCATTTTCCCAACAGTCCATGTACACCTCCCCTATGCACTTCTTCCCCACCTTGAGCTCCGTATCCTCGTGCGCACTCGCGTCCCCAGCAAGCTCCCAACTCCGCGCCTGCCGGGCATACTGCGGGTAGATGTATCTCTGTGTTAAATTATCGGGCAACCGCCCCGGCACGCGGCGCCATACGCTTCGTATCAATCGCCCGCGCAAGACCAAGGTTCCGCCCTTCACCTGGCCGAATGGAAGCGCCGCGTCCTCGAGCACGACGTCGCACCGTACCACGCTCGCGAGCGCCGTCTGCCCGGGCTCCCGCTTCCGCATCCCGATCGGCCCATCGAGGGCCGCCCACGACCATGACGGTGCGCGGTACGCCGCGGGCGCGCGGAGTGCGGCGGCGCGCTGCCGCTGCCAGAGCAAGTCGTTGAGCAGCATCTCGCGCCACAGACCCGCGAGGTAGTCGGTACGGAGGACGCGATGGAACTGCGCGGCGAGCGCGCCGCACGCGGGGAGCTTGTCTGCGGGGACGGTGAGCGCGCAGCGCGTATAGTCCTGCACGAGGCGCAGCCACGCCTCATGTACCTCGAGCCACGCGTAGGAGTTCTGCCACTCGAGCGGCGGCGGCGACGGGAGGAAGAGCGCGTTGGGCAGCCGCCGCTCGCCGCCTTCTTCGCCGGGCGACGTCGGGAACAGCGGCTCGGACGGCCCGGGGGAGTAGAACGAGTCGCCGACGTTCTTCGTCGTGGTCTGACACCGGAACTGAAGCGTCTGGGAGGTGAAGAGGAGCGCGCGCGGGGACATCATGTATTCTTGCATGCACCATGCGCGCGTGCTGATGGGCTCCCATGTATGGTTGTATAGCTCCTTGTATCCTTGTTTCAGGCTCGCGAAAAGAACGGACACGTTCACACTGCCAACTAGCTGCGTTGCTGTAACTGCATCCATGCTAGGGCCGGCTCGCGCTGGAGAGAGAAGGGGTGGGGGACATATGAAAGGTAGATGCCGGATGTCGGGGGACACTTCACCATGTCGGATGGGCGGCGGGTCGTTAGGCAGCCGCTCTTGAAGGAACCCCTCGCTGACCCGCCTAGCACTTGCCGCGATGATTGTCAGATATGCGTTGCGGTAGATAGCGTGCATCTGCGCCAACTCATGCTGTCGGTCGTCATCCGAATCTTGAATGATGCATAGTGTGTCTAGCCAGAGGTACTGAAACCCTAGCGCGTGGGTGACCTGGATCGCGTCGCGGATGGTCTGAGGAAGGCGGGAGGGCTCGATCCCGCGCGTATACGCAGACACGTTGGACATGATTGTGCTGTGAGGCTGTGGCTCGCCCCAAACGTAGCTGAGAGCGAGATAGCTTCCGCGCTTTCCGCTTGTCGAGGCAAGATACGGGCGATTAGGGATGGTGCAGTCGACGAGGCGTGTGGGGAGTGGGGAGTCCGAGAGGGATGAAAGTGAAAGGGCCGCGCAGCGTTGATGTCCGTGTACGCACTCGTCAAGACATGCCTTTGCCAGGGACAACGCATGTGTTGACCCGACGTCCAGGATAGGGTTCCGCGCAACGATGAACGGCGCTGCAGGATTGTCTGAGGTGTTGTGTCGTGTTAGCTATGCGACCGGGGAGTGTGCATAAGCCAACCCACCGGCGGATGTGTACACATATCCTTCGAACATTGTCGTTATGTTGTGGACGTCGACGGCTATCATCAAGATCTGAGTGTTCTTGGGAGTGACATGAGCGGTGAACGCGTCCGAAGTGCCCGTTCCCACTGTAACCTTGATGCGCGTCCGAGGCTTCGACGGACAGTAGCAGTGTGATAATATCAGTTGGCACCACAAACATCCTGCGGCTGCGCTAGACTTTACCGCCTCCCAAGAGGTCGAGTATGAATATCCCCCGGTCGTCGGCTTTTTTCCGCTGCGGCCATCCGGGTCCGATAGTCCTATAGCCATTGCAGGTGCGCCAAAAAGACCCAAATGCGCTGCGAAGGGATTGTCCCAGCACGATTGACAGATTGAGGTGGGCCTGGGTGGAACGGAGCGCCTATCGGGACGACCTGGAGGGGAAACTTGAGCTACCTGAGACGTCGTTAAACCCATCGGTGATCTGAGCAGAGGATGACGGTACAAAAGGAGATCCGGGAAGTGCACATCCTCTCGAATATGGGGCGGAAAACATGAGGCTAAGGGAACGAAGCAGTGGTGACAGCCTAACACGAGTGAGTCGCACATCGCCGACGCGGCACGAAGTTCCCACGCCATGAGGATGCGCGCGCCTCCAGGTGTCCCTCTCGAGTCTCGGCGTCTCGCGCTACCAACTGGCAACTGCCCTCGATCGTCTTCCTCCCCCTCGTACTTTCTGCGGTCAGTTTGGCTTTCTCGGCGGCTCATACATTGCGTCTGTCAGGTGTTGCATCCTTATATTGGACTACCACGCCGAAACTTCCCGAGAAGTTGATCACGGCTGGTTTTTGTGCACCTTCGGCAGGGAGTCTTGAACAATTTGAGGTGGAACACACTACATCCCGGAATGGAGGTACGTCGTCTTTAATCCACCTGAATACCTACGTGCTTTGTTGGGGGCCGTACGCACAGGCCGTGGAATCCAACTTTGGCGAACCCGGACTCGGCGCTCATCTCCGGAACGCCTGGAAATTACGCATGCGTCGTCCACTAGGGTGCTCCGGAGATACACTCGTGCTGGTGGGGGCGCAGTACACCCGCTGGGCTACAAGACCTTGGACAGGGAAGGATCTATGCTTCTTGGCTACTCCAATGCCCCAGACGTTACCTGGCCAGGACGATGATGCCCGTCGTCTGACAATCTCCCAGGCTGACTGGAGGAAGTAAAAACATCTCCTACGTTGGTATATACGTTTGCTCACGAAGACAAATACATCACAGCGTGTTAGAAGATGCCAGTCGCGCTCAATTAGTTTCCATCAGGTCTGCGAGAGGCAAACGTGCATAGGGAGATCCAGCATGCGCTGCGGGCACGCTGCGGCACCCTCGAGAACGCGCCTGTAGCTCGTTATCTGACGCATCCGCGGAATACGATGACGTCTACCACCCGGAGTATAGCCGACTGCAGGCGTTCACGCTGACGTACAGGGCGATCGCTGATGTGCCCACGTCGGAGCAGTCACGACAGACTGCAGGTGCCTACCGTCGTCCCCGGGCTCGTACAGAAGTGACAAGCAGACCGCCGCAAGGAGCTCACGAATCACCTCCCTTGCGCTCGAGTCTCATGTCAACGTTTCAACGACGGGCCCGCATACATGGAAGCATCCTGACCAAGTTCCGGGACCTTGGCCTGAAATCGTCAAGCGGGTCGCGGCTGATGTGCCTGTCGCCCGACAAGCATCCAAGGTGTTCTAAGAGGCAGGCGTAATTCACACTTCGCTGTACACGTGCGCTGATGGACAAGAATACCCTGCAGCGTGGTAGACGTCCCGTGCTGCGCCCGACGGATGCCTGGCGGGTGTGCGAGTGGCACATCTACATGCGGAGCTCGAGGATACTCTTCGGTCACCCTCGATGACGACTGGGGTCTGTTATGTGGCGATTCCGCGGAACGCAACAATGGACCGCCGCCCGAAGTATATCGATCTGGCCTTCACGCCGGCGCACAGCGATCGCCGACGTGCTCGCGACGTCGGCCTCATGGTCGCACGGAAACGGGAGCCACAGTGCTATGGGGAGGTCGCGGAAGGTTCCTACTCCCGCCACCTCGGGGAGATGTGGTCGCCGACGTGAACCTACTCACGCTCACGATGCGGCGCAGACGACACTCGAAGTTGACGATGATTAGCAATTGCCTTGTAAACTTCAACTGCCAAGCAAACTTCCGTGAACTTACCGCTCCGACGTTTGAAGACAACTCGACCATCATGCATACCCATCAAGCAGATGTGAGCGTAACTTATGGATCCGGGTTTTTGTACAATCGTCATGCTGACCTGGAGTCCTGGACCAAACCGTGATAGGTGTAGTATTGCAGTTCCATGCCGTCAGACACTGTGGCGGGATGCAGGCCGGGGTTGCCTAGGCCTAGTCCTACTCGCCGAAGCAAAGACACGATCTGACTGCGTATGAAGACATGAAAGGCCCAACATGAGGCTCAACACAACAGGACGATAAGAGGCCTGCAAAGCCTCAACACGGCGATCATTAGATCTCCAACAGTTTTCTCGAAGGTACCGGACTTTTGAAATCTAAGTTTCGCCTCAGCGTCCGCGATGCCTGGAGGAGATCAATTCGGCTGCGAAGGCGAGTAGCACCTCCGCTTTCAAGGACCGCAGAGTTCATATAGGCGCCCAATGTCTGGGTGTCCTTGTGCTAAGCCATGAATTCAGCTTGGACCATAACCACCACCATCCCGCATCCCCCCCTGCTCCTTCAGATGCCTCCATGCCGCAAAAGACAGCGCTCGGACAACAATTTACCCCTGGCAGCACCGTGCACGTCTCCTGGAACCTTCTCACTAACCTCCGACTCAGCGACTCGGACGCCTGAGTTGACACCGGCTGCGAGCTCACCGAACACGCTCGCAGGTCTGGTGAAGAGATCCGTGCTGAAAGGTCGCTTACAGACGCTTCCGGACATCGCGCTCGAAATCCAACTCCTGGCAAGTGCTCACCTTCCGCCTTTTGTGATCTCCAATCAGTGAGCTTACCCGCGGTGCTCCCCTTGTAGATATATGCCGAGCTTGAATTGAGGGATATTCACCACCTCTCGCGCACTTGCAAGAAGTTTCGCAGGTTCTTCCTGGATCGCAAGACGAACGAGAGACTCTGGATGCAAGCGCGGGAGAATGCCAAGTGTCTCCCGGAGCGACCACCGTTCATGACCGAACCAGCGTTCATCCATCTCCTCTATACAAGGAATTGCAACGTGAGCTTTATACTACTCTTCTCCTATACGCAGCGCTCATTAGTGAGCGTATAGGGTTGCGGTGCGCCCAATGTCCGCAAGATTCTGCATGGCTGGTTCGTACGCTTGTGCACCGCGTGCACGCGCGACAGGTAGGCGAGTGTCTTCCGCGCTTGTACACGGGGCACTGCTTACGACAGTCCATAGGACTGTTTGGTACGAACACGCGTTCCACGAAGTGCGCGCAAACGACTGCAAGTTTACTCTCAGCGCGATCTTCGACCTCAACAACCTCCAGACGTATCTCGCCGTTCAAAACTACTTGGGGTGTGTACCGTGTGCATTTGGTATTAGCAGTACGTCTCAGCCTTCACTGACATATCTCCAGTTGCTCCTACAATAAGCGCCACAACCGCCTGCTCAAGGATCATGTCACGCATATCTTGGAACGGTTCAGAGCTCTTGTGAAACCTTTCACTGAGGCTGTAAAGCAGGCGTTTCTCAACGAGGTGATAGAGGACCATTGTGCCCGTTCGGAGATTCGTCCGCTGGTGCGTATCCCGCATCCCGTCTCGCTCGCTGACTTTGTGACGATTTCCATCAGTACGTGCACGCCATTTCGGCCTGGCTTGAACTCCAGGACCGCGCAAGAAACGCACAGCTCGGCGTTGCAAGGAGGGAGCGCTTTGAAGCGTGCGTTCCGAATATGCGTTGAGTTTGCCCACCCTCATGTTTTATGCATGACGCAGGATCGTCGTCAACCTACGCGAAGCCGGCTGGGACAAAGAGGTTGATTTTCTGGGCGCACGTGGGATGGAAGCGATGTCGAATCTGCCCGTGGTCCGACAATCGTCGAAGCTGACGGCAGGAGGTAAATTCCGCGTTCATCGTGGCAACGACGTCGCCGCGTATACGCTGACCATCAATGACCCCCAGCGTGGCAGAAGGTTCTAGTCGTACTCGATACGTTACTGAACGACACAAGGGCGAAACGGCTGGAGAAGGAGCTCCGGAACGCACTCCGTGCGCGCTTCAACACGCTCGAGGACGCCATCATGTAACAGTTCCGCGTACCGTCCGCATGGAATGCTGTCCGCGATATATATCGACTTTTCATACACGCCCGAGTGCAGAGCCATCATCGATGTGCCCACGGCTGAGATAATCACCGCTGACCAGTTTGCAGCTGTCTTTCCGTTCTCGCGCTGCGCTGGGACGCCGACCGCAAGTAGGAGCTCACGGACTACATACTCACGCATCTCCCGAACCTCACTCCGGACGTAGACCCCCTTGAGCTCGCCGTCGCCTCCTTCGCGTGCAAAACCAGATGCCAGCCGGTCTTCGCGACAGTGCGCTACCCGGCGATCCTCGCCCACAGATGCCCCGAAGGTGACTGCTTCCGCCTCTCCAGCTGTGCCAGAGATGAGTTTGAACAAGGCGACGTGTATACTCGCACAACCACCTCTCTGGCGTGGTCCCCGTACGACTTGCAGTCGTACGCGCACGGCGCCGGGCTCCTGAGTGTCCGCGTCCCGTTCCACTTGGCACAGCTGGCTGCGACTGGGGAGGCAGATGCGCGGCAGCTGATGAACACCATGCGCCGCATCGTCGCTGCGCTCGGCCTCGACCCCGCGCGCGCCACGTTCGATGAGCTGCAGGAGTGCTTTACGTGGCTCCGGTGCGTGACGTGTGAAACGGCGGATCGCGCGGACTGGATCCGCGCGCGGTCCTGGCGAACTGCTGTGGGTTGCCCCGCGTCCTCCCGCGTCCTTAGCTGTGAACCCGAGATGCTCACAGCTTGTGATTCGTCGCTGGCATTATTTGCAGTGCGACCACGAGAAGTTCCACACGGACGGCGGCCCGCCGGGGCACGCGCGGGCGAGCCCGGAGTGGCGCTGTGCGGACAGGGACGACATGTTCAAAGTGCGGGCGTCGTTGCTGTCCGCACGCCTCGTCCAGGGTTCCTACCTGTGGTGCTGCTCGCTCTGTCTGACTTTCAACGCGGCGGCGGACCTCATGATACGCCACTTGAATGAGACGTGCGTCCGTTCAACTAGCCTCTGCGCGTTCGTGTTATGCTGATATGTTGCGCGCCCCGCAAACAGACACAGCATCACAGACCCGCAGGAAGCGCGGCGGGACGGGGTCATCTACCTCCATCCGTCTGAAGACAAGTCTTGCGTCGCATACGCGTGCGGCCTCATCAGCCTCCGCGCGCGCGTCGAGCCTCGGAGGGCGGACTAGGGCGCGGGTGTGTGTTCTGCAGCAGCACGAGTGAACGTGCCCGAAATGGCGTTGTCGTCATCTGTATATTAGGGTGCTATGTATGGTCATGGTGGTCTGCGAAGTGCGCCTGGGGCGGCGCCCTCCTTTATGCTTGTTTTCTGGGTGTATTGTCTACGGGTTACTGGGGCTGCTAATGAATGATATGGAGTCGAGTCTCCCATCATACTTGCCGCGGTTGTCTCGCAGATTTCAGAAGCTATCATCGGCTCCGTATACGATCGCCAATCGCGCCCTGGCTTGGATAAGTGTCCACCGTTGTGTGTATTGATTTTGCGCGCACTGGTTCAGCTGGTCGAGCAGGATGCATGATCTCCGATTTTCTCTGGCATAAATAGTGCACAGGGATAGGCACCTGCTGAGAGCGAATCAATACCGAGAGAAACGGCGGAGACGGGGGGAGGCTCCCGTTACGCGACGCGCGGAGTTACGGATCATGCGGACGTGACGCTTGCGTGCCCATTGTTCTCCCCAACGGCCGAACTCCGCGACTCCCTCTTAGCCACCGTCCTTGACGCCCGCGATGATATTTCTTGTTGCTGCGTTTGTACAGGCAGCCCCATCACCTCAACGTTCGACCACGACCATCCCCACCAGAGCCTCTCAACTTGCATGATGATGCCTCCCCACAAGAAACAGCGTATCGACGCCGGAAAATCGGATGCGGACCTATTGACCCTTGTGTCCCTACCTACGACCAAGGCAGCAATCGAGGCCGCCAGTGAAGCACTGTCCGTCGTCGAAACAAGAAGATTGAAGCGGATTGCTCGCCGAGGCCGCCTACAGGCTCTCCTGGACCTCTCACTGGACGTCCAACTTGAGGCAAGTGCGCGCGATCTAGCAGGCGGGTAGATATTGACGCATGAATTCCCTGCCAGATATGCAACTACTTGGATCTCGATTTGCTCAATCTGGGGCGCACGTCCAAGAATTTTCGCGCCTTCTTGCTTGACAAGGCGAACGAGAGGAAGCTGTGGGTGCCCGCGCTTGCGAACACGCCCGGCATCCCCGTTCGGCCCCCGTTTATGAGCGAGCCTGCGTTCGCTCATCTGCTCTACTCTCCGCATTGCCACGTAAGTCATCCGCTTCATCACATACACCTAGTATGCTGAGTCGTTCACAGAACTACGGAAAATCGAAGGTTCGGGACATCACGTATAGCTGCTTCAACCGATTGTGCCCGGGTTGTTTCTCATACAAGTAGGCTTGTGAGCTGTTCATTCACACATGGATATATCTAACAAGTATCACCTTACAGGACTATGCGACCTGACTTTGCCGCCTGCGATGCGACGACGATTGACAGCAGCGGCACGCTCTCCCGCGTCGTTTTCGACAATGGCAACCGCGAGCTGTACCGCTTTCGGGACGACTTCGTCGACCGCGTTTTCAAGGAATTCGCGGCTCTACCGACCCCTGTGACGTTGGAGGCTGTGTCTGCGTTGGCAGAGAAAGCAAGGGCGGCGCACAGAGACACTCTGCCGGTATGTCCTCTTCAAGGGCTCCTGCGGCGTATATTACTGATCATGTATTCTCTTAGTACGCACATGATCTGCACCTCTGGGTGGAGGATCAAGAAGAGCAGAGGTTAGCACGCATAGAAGCTATCCGGAAACGGCGTTACGAAGCGTATGTCTACTTTGCATGGAGAGGCGTGGTCTGGCTTCGCAGCGCTGACTGCAACCTTGTACCACAGCATTCTCTCCAGACTGCGAGAGGCGGGTTGGAAGAAAGAGCTCTCCTTGATGGATGCGCGCAAACTGGAAGCACTGTCTAACTTTCCCGTCGTTAGGCAGGCGTCCAAGTTGACCAACCGAGGCGAGCGTGATTCTTTCCTCATGTACGCTTGTGTGCTGACGGAGGCGATGCATCCCAGCATGGCCGAAGGTGAAAATCGCACTCGACGAGTACATGAAACGCGTGCAAGACAGGCGCCTGGACTGGAAGTATCGGGCCCTTCTCAAGACACGATTTGGCATCCTCGAGAAGGCTCTGGTTGCCCACTACGTGACCCTGCCACGCACCGCCCGAATGGACTATCGGCCACAGTACATCGACTTTGCGTTCACGCCGGAGTGCCGCGCAATCGTCGACGTGCCCGCGTCTGAACCGGTCACCGTGGAACAGTTCGCCGCCGTCATCCCCGCGCTCGCGCAGAAGTGGGACGCGGACTGCAGGAAGGCGCTTACAGACTACCTCCTTCCACACCTCGGCGACATTCCCGCGGATGTGGATCCACTCGAACTTGCGATCTCGTTCTTTAGCTGCGGCTCTTCAACATTGCTCAGGGAACTCGGGGAACTGCGGTATCCTACAGTTATCAAGCACCGTTGTTTTCGAGGCGATTGTTTCCGACATGCAAGAAATTACACCATCGGAACGTTCTTTGAGGACGACGTATACACCCGCACGGTGAAGTCTCTTGACTGGACCGAATTCGATCTCAAACAGCAACTCCAGTCCAAGCCTGATAACGAGCTCCAAATCAACAGCCCGTGGCAGGTTAGGGCGACAGGTGACCGTGACAAGGCCCGTACAGTACTAGTGGTAGACATAATGCGGCGGATAGTCTCCGCATCTGGGTTGGACCCAGCGAGGGCGCTGTTAGAAGACCTGGAGCAGAGCGACGTATGGCTGCGATGTGTCACATGCGAGACACAGCACCCGCATAACGAGATCCTTGCAATGTCATGGAAAGGCGCGGTGAGTCAACCCTAGTATATATGAGGAGGTCTAAGCTGAACACGAATACCCGCCTTCTGCTCTATAGTTTAGACATGAGCGTGACCACGTTATGCAATGGCATGTAAACGCGAGGGCTATTCCGGAGTGGCGACAAGCCGACGGCGAGGACATGATCAAGGTGCGCGCGTTCAAAGAGGCGGAATCGCGGGACGCGAAGTTCGGCGATGGCAAGTGGGCGTGCTCGCTCTGCACAACCTTTAATGCGACCGCGAAAGCTATGGGAAAGCACCTGGAACAGACGTGAGTCATGTCGGGCAAAGCGTGCACACCGCTCCTACTGATACGGTGTCCGTTGTCGTTCCAATAGACATTCCATCCCAGATATATACCAGGCCAGGCGGGATGGCGTCATCTATCTTTGGCTGCCCGACAGGTACTCGGTATACGCAGATTCTGTCTCCCTCCGCAAACGCATCGAGCCCGAGGCCGCGTGGGCACACATTGAAACATGCGGTCGTTGATGGTGTTCTGTCGGGAGGTGTGCGCCGTGACTGATCGATGTTCCTTGTAATTCGTTGTACAATGTACCATGCACTTATGAAATATCTTTTCTGAGCCGGGCTGTATCTAAATTTGCATACTGGGCGCGAGCAGATCGTCCGGAGGATGCGACCGAGGCTCTGCTGTGTCCTTCACAAGAACGATACCCATTCAAGTCAACGTGTCAAATGACCGATACCTACTACTTCTTCGATAAAAAAGTCTTACATTGAATATTTCATGATCTTCACCTAGAGAAGGCGGATATTAAAACCACCTTGTATACAGTGATTGTGCCGCACATCGCTCTTGAGATGAGTGAAAGTGAAAGCGGAGCCCTACGCGTAGAGTCACAGATCATGCGGACGTGACGCATCGCGCGTCTCATTGTGCGCGACGGTCGATCTCCGCGACAGATCTCTCAGCTTAGCCACCGCCATTGGCGCCCGCTTTATATCTCTTTGTTCGTTCGCGAACCTCTCTTTCATTCAAACCATCACCATCTCCGACACGACCTCACCATGCCCCCACGCAAGAAACAAAAGACTAACTCCGGTGATGCGCTTGCCGTAGCATCGACCAACGTCGTTGTGCCGACCGCGCCTCGTCGCATGACCAGGGCAGCAACCAAGGCCGCCACCGGCAACACTACCCAAGCAGCAGCAGCCGTCGACGGAGAGAACATGTCTCTTGCCGCTACTAGTAGACCAAAAGCGACTACGGCCGGTCCAGATACTTCCAAGCGAATCGTTCGCAAGGGTCGCCTACAAGCTCTTCCGGACTTGCCCCTGGAGATCCAGTGCGAAGTGAGAATCACGCAGTTTTAACTCTTAGTTAGCGATTTACGTGTGGTTATCCTTTCAGATCTACAAACAACTCGATTTGGAGGATTTGCACAACTTATTGCGGACTTGCAAGAAGTTCAACGAGTTCTTTCTGGACAGGGACAACGAGCTGCAGCTGTGGGTGCCGGCACGGGCGAACACGCCCGGCATCCCTGATCGGCCCCCGTGGATGAGCGAGCCCGCGTTCGTTCACCTTCTGTATGCACCTAACTGCCATGTAAGCTTTCCGTTCTGTCTCACTGCCTCGACTAGTTACTGATCAATCTGCAGAACTGCGGAGCGTCGAACATTCGCAAGATCATATTTGGCTGTTTCATTCGACTCTGCGCATCCTGCATCATGGATAGGTACGCATACGCGCTGTCTGTACACGCGAAGATGTACCTGAATGGTGCTTTGTAGGACTGTCAACTATGATGAGGCTCGGGTTGAAGCGGCCAAGATCGACGACGGCTGGGCTTTGCAGAACTTGTTCTTCTCGAGATCCTATACCGCAATTTTCCATGTACAGCGGCGTTCTGTGTAAGTCGCTCGGCGACCCGGTGAGCCCATAACTCATGCAGCTCTCCGTCCTCCCCAGCGCCCGCTATAGTGATCCGAAATTCAATCGCATACTGAAGGATGATGTGGTCCGCGTCTTCGAGCGATACATGGCGCTCCCCGGTCCCCTAGGGCGCTATTCGCAAGACTTTTACTTGCAAATGAAAGCAGAGACGACTGCCCGTCTGCCGGTACGCCCCATTCGGTGGACCACATGGCTTGCCTATAACACTAACATCCTGTGGTGCTAGTATGCCAACGCTATTCAGGACTGGCTGGAAGATCATGAGGAGGAGAGGAAAGCTCACTTGGGAGACGCTAGGAAGCAGCGATTCGACGGGTACGTCTGTGTCGACATTCAGTGGCTACGCCTATGCTCACGACGGCTCTTCTCGAAGCATTCTCGCTAGATTGCGAGACTCCGACTGGAAGATTGAATTGGACTTCTTGGGCGATGAGGGCATCGAGACCTTGTCGAATATGCCCGTCGTCCGCCAGTCGACTAAACTAACTGAAGGATGTAAGGACCATCTGCATTCTGGTGCTCGCTGGTGTACTGACTGGAGATCATTCAGCGTGGCAGAAAGTGCTCGCAGCCCTTGACGGCTTCCTGAACGAGACGAGGGAGAAACGGCTCGACAAGGAACTCCGCGCAGCGCTCACCGCGCGCTTCGAGTTGCTCGAGGAGGCTATCCGGGCGCACTACGTGACGCTCCCGCGGACCGCCAAGATGGACTGTCGTCCACGATGCATTGACTTCGCCTTCAGGCCGGAATGTCGCGCGATCTTGGACGTGCCTACGTCCGAAACGGTCACTCTCGACCAATTTACCACGGTCATCCCTACGCTCGCGGAGAAATGGGATGCGGACCGCCGCAAAGAGCTCCTAAAGTACATACGTCCGCACCTCGGCAAAGTCGCCCCCGATGTCGACCCGCTGTCCCTTGCAATCGCCGTATTCAGACTCAAGAACCTGGATAAGTCGTGCTACGTCGACATAGGGCGGATGCATTACCCCACCATCTTCACACACGACTGTTCATTCTCCAACTGCTTCCGCGGCGCGAAGCTGAAGAACGCGGAGGCCTTTCGGCAAGAGGAGACCTACACCCGGACGGTCCAGTCCTTGGAGTGGGGTTCGTATGAGCACGGCAAGCTCGTGGAGAGGCCGGACGACGCGGTTTACCTCGATGGCCCCTTCCATCTGAACGAGCTAGCAGGCCGTTCTGAAGCCGCATGTGCGGTGCAGTGCATGCGCCGGATTGTGTCTGCGCTCGGACTGGATCCGGAGCGGGCGACGTTTGACGACTTGGAGCGAAGCGACGTGTGGTTGCGTTGTGTCACTTGCGAGAAGGCCCGCCCAAAGAGCGCCATCTGGGCAATGTCGTGGATGCGCGCAGTGAGTCTTTTCGTTACTAATGACGTTCGCTGGGATAACGCTGCTTACACCGCCCCCTTTGTCACTTCAGTACACTCACGACGAGGATCATCGTACGGGACAGGCAGGCAAGAGTGTCGTTCCCAAGTGGCGACGTGTCTCCGACAAGGACATGGGGAAAGTGCGCACTCTCCGAGTGCTTGAATCTTATCATGCGACCGACTTCTACGATCGGGCGCTGTGGTCGTGCTCGCTTTGCCCGGCCTTTGACGCGAAGGGCGCCACTATGGCAAAACATCTCCAGGAAAGGTGAGTGATTCCACGTACATATAAGTAGTCCTACCACCTTACTAACGTGGTTGCAATAGCCACGGGGTTTCGGACATCGCGCAGGCGGACAAGGACGGGGTGATCTACCTCCATCCGAACATGAACAAGTCCCGCCGGTATAAGGAGACTGTTAAACTGCGTGCCTAGATCCGAAGACGGGCCTTGTGATGGCACATATGTACTAGTACCCGCGGATATATTAGTTTCACTCGAGTTGTGCTTGTAGTCTATCTGTATATATGATGTATCGTTTTCGGACTTCTCTTCGTAGCGGTCGCGCGGAGACCTATGAAACTCTGTAATGCACGGAACCGATGGTGTCGTGGCCTGTACTCCGACACATCTAATCTTACAACGTGCATGACAGGCCGCCTCTTCGCGACGTCTCACACAACGACCGGATGCGCGCGACTACCAGGATCTCCAGGGGCCTGCGAGGACCCTCGCGCGGCGCAATTCATACATAGTACTCCCTACAACAATAGTACTACGTATCCCGGGCCTGGTCACATTAAAATACAATGGGGACGTTTCTTCCTGGTATTTCGAGAGGATGCGTCTCCGCCATGGAGGTGGGTCTCCGCCATGGAGGCCCGAGCGACGTTCCTCTACAACGTCTGCAAGAAGGGTGTCACACAATGATTTGAAACAGTACGCTTAAGAACGTTGCGCACCTTGGAGTGGGCCGGAAGTCACAGTGTCGAGTCGAGCGAGAATGGCGTCCATTTGGGAAGACAACTCGGTGATGCGCGAGGACAGGACGGTGTTTTGAGAGGCTAGCGTGGCACGAAGTACTGCGTTCTCCTCCTGCATGTCGACCACACTCTGTGCGCTCCTGTATGGCGTCACGGCTTCCCCTGACGTGATTGCTTGAGTGCTATCCTGACGAACTTGTGGGGAAGAAGGGTCAGGGAGCGCTGGTCCCAGGGGAACACCTCCACATGTCATAGCCACGACGGCGCTGGATAACATCGACGACACGCCGCTGTCCCCCCGGTCGGCCCTTGAGTTCACGCACGGGGAGGCGTTGCAGGTGCCGGGAGCCGATGTTCCGCTGTCTCTCTCGGGCGTCAGGGGGAGATAGGTCCCATCGTATTGTTGAGGGACAGAGGGGGGCGAGGGGATAGAATGTGGAGGAAGGGTGCGCGGTGAAAGGTTGACCACGGAATCGACCACGCTGTCTCCTGCAGTCTCTACTGGCTCCGACGATGTTGTCCGAGGGATGATCTAAACACATTAGAGTAAGCTGTAGTCTCTGCAGAACGGAATGCACCCGAAGACAGGGTATACTCACTGCCACAGCGGTCGAAAGCTCATACGTTGCATGCGGACTCGACGCCGCTCGGCCGGGATCTCCGGAGGAAATCAGGGAACCTTCTTCGTCATTCCTATTATTTGTCTCCGGGTCTGGAACACTGTCACTGGACTCGTCGTCCGAGGTGTCGGGGTTTCGGCGCATTCTGTGGGGATACGCGTCGGAGAGGTCGACAACTATGCAGACGTCCTTGCACATGTTCCGGGTCGCACTCTCCTGGGAGCGTTCCAAAGCAAGCCGCAGGAGGCGACGCGAAATGAGATCCGCTTCCCACTTTGTGTCCGCATGGAGGACAAACTCGGCGTTGGCCAAGGTACGCTCTGTGGACCAGCGAGACCTAAACTGTGACTCCGAGTGTGTCTCTTCCATGCGGAAAGTATCGTGATCATCCTTCAGAGTCGAGCCTTCCACGACGCAAGGAAGGGAGTTGGGGAAGGGTGGTACCACGTCAGAAGACGCGGTCGAAGTAGAGTCGGCAGGAATAAGTGATGCCTCGGAGAGGACTCCGATGCGGCTGATCACCGAGAAGCGTGTCTTTACATCCCAATGAGGTACCCTCGTCTTAGGCTCTAAGAGTGTGAGGGAAAGTCGGATATGGATGCTCTGCTGCGGCCCCTTTACCCAGAGACGATGTTCGGGAACCGACAAGAGCGTGAGGGAGACGATGATCTCTCCGGAACGCTCAATTGGCTTGTATCGCAGAGGGGAGACTGCGAAGCCTAGCGCGTTGAGGTTTTCGATGCAGTCAGGAGGGACGATAAAGGTGACTTCGTTTGCCCGGTCCTTGGGCCAGAAATTGATCCCGCGAAGTCAATTTGGCGAGACTTGGGTATAGGGGGCGGCGAGTAGTGACGGAGAAGCGAAACCTCAACGGGGTCCGTCGAGAGGTGCTTCAGGGCCTCTTCCAGCGCATATCTGGTCAGACCAATCGTGTGGAATGGCCGATGATCGACATTCTCGTCATCGCATGAGATATGGGTCTCAATGGTCAGGCCTAGTCCGACCGCCGGTTCCAGCGAGCGTCGAGAATGGCAGATAGGTAGGGCAAGAAGATAGTCGTCGACGTCTTCGCATTGTAGGAGGGCGAGCGCATGGGCATGACCGAGCCGCATGCAGCTCTCGCAAACCTCCATAGGAACCTCGGCGAAGAAAGTCTTGAACAGTTGTGGGATATGCGACAGGTCGACGCACAGGAACTGAGCGTGAACGCGTTCGGGGGTGAATATGCAATGTAGGGGCGGAATGCGATCCTCATTCGCGAGGCGGAGACGCGACGCAAAGACTGCGGAAGAAATTACAGAAACACCACCATAGTCCCTGAAGTCGTCCGGAGACTGCGCTAGGAGGCCGTGAAAACCAGCCCTGCCAATTGAGGCTTTGTGCGAGGGACGGGTGCGGCTCAGAGACCTCAGCGTACAGCCGCGGCCCCAGGTGAAGATGCTTTGGTCCGGAACGGTCCTGATGATCTCCTCTTGAAGGCGGAGAAATGCGTTGTGGCCTTCGCCATAGATCGGAGACATGTGAACGCCGAAGAGGCCCATTAGTGAATAGGCACGGTCCTCGACTCGTGTCGTTTGCCGATCCGCGTTCCACGACATCCGTCGCGCGACGCTGACAGATTCCAAGGGGGCTCGGTGTGTCAGGATGTCGAATTCGATGCCAGTGATGCACTCCAGGACATGAGCCAGCCCAATCTTCGTGCCCAAAAAGCTCCATGTCTCCGTCACGAACACGACTCGTTCAGGGGCGACGAGTTCTTGCAGTGTCCATCCGCGCTTGTGTCATCTGCTCGTGTGAAACCTGGAATCCTTCGAATCTAGGAGATCTCCCTCGGGCACGTCCTCCAGGTAGACGTAGCAGATGTCCGAAAGCCTGTACCACTCGTACATCGAGTTGATCGCCTCCGAGAGCTCCGCACTACTCGTTTTGTCGATGCAGCAGGAGTCAATCCAAACGAGTCGGAACCCCGCCTCCCGCGCAATCCTGCAGGCTTTTGATCTTGTCGCAGAGATTTGGGTGGTGGTATAGGAGTGGAAGGACGTCGGCAGGGCCGGAATCCGCGGGAATCGTAGAGGTGAGTGCGTGAACTCCTTTCCGGAGCTCTGCCGCGTCCGCCTGAAGCTTCCGAATGTCGTCGTACGTTTGCTCACCGCCCTTGTCCGGGGATCTCCACTTATGGGATAGAATGGCATACTGGACCTTTTCTGGAGCATTGTGCTACTCAAACTCGCCCGTCCAGGTGTTCAGAAAGCGCGGCATGCCGGTGACCTTCACAGTGAAGGGCGTCTTTGTTAAGCGCTAGGTGTTCTGACTGAGAGAACCTACTGTCTTTTGGCACAGAGCACAGGAACAGGCTCAAACACTGGTCAGGCAGTCGGAGAGAGACAGAAAGAGAGAGCTTAGGAGTCGCGGCAGTGGGTGTTACAGAGAAAGGGATGATACATAGATAAGCGCCCAGTACGCGTGCAATAGTTAATTTGCGGCCGAGCAAGGTTTGAACTTGAGGCATCTCTCTCTCTCATTACCCTTGATTACACTCTGCTAGCGTGTTTCCTAAGAACTCCTTGACATTTGAACACAATGTAAATATTCTGTTTTATATCCTTCTCCACTATCCGCGAGGAACAAGCCTCGGCGCGTGATCCCCACTCAGTCAGGCCGCCGCTGGCGATGGTTGTCGCCCCACTTAATGTAAGCTTTATATACCTCGAGTCTCTACTGATCCACCGCTCTTCGGAGGTCTACTTTTACTTACAACCAGTACTTTCGAGTTGGAGCAACAAAAATCACACACGCGTGCAGTCACTAATCATGAGGACGTGACGTTTCGCGTATTTCTCTCCACGCGGCGGACAAATTCGGCTCTCTCCCCCCGATGCTCTAGCCACCGCTATGAGCGCCCGCCCCATTCCTCTTTGTCCCTCTGTTAGCCATCGATACAGACGCCTACTATATAATCTTTGTCTCTCCGTTGGAATCTCCTTTGACCCAACCTATCATCACCTTTGTGCGACACGACTAATACTTATGCCTTCACGCAAGAAGCAGAGAACCAACGTCGATGCCCCGACAGCAGCGGCGGTGCCTCGTCGAACGACCAGGTCGGCCACCAAAGCCATGCGAGCAAGCGGCGCCGTCGCCCCGACTGAAGAACCTACAAATACTGTCGAAGCAAGGGCGGCAACACCAGTCGCAGTCGATCCAGACAATTCTGGCAACCGCATCCTTTCCGAGGGACGTCTACAGGCGTCGCCGAACACACCCGGGATACCTGAGCGGCCTCCCTTCATGAGCGAGGACACGTTTCAGCATCTTCTCTACGCGTCAGAGTGTTGGGTAAGTCCTCGGCTTCGTCTCGGATTCCCGAGGGAATATTAATGGATTTACAGAACTGCGGGACGTCGGACATCCGCACGATCGTCTACGGCTGTTTTGTCCGTCTCTGCTCACCCTGCATTCAGGAAAGGTATGTAGATGGGCTGTCTATACGCGCGGAAAATTCATGAAAACCACGTTGTAGAACCGTTTGGTATGCAGAAGCTTCAATTAAAGCAGACATGCTCGACGACAGTGGGACTCTGTCCCGCATGTTTTCTCGCATCAGCAGGATGATCGAAATCTGCGGGTGAGTGAGAAGAGAAATCCATCCCGATACATCTCTCATGCAATACCCATCCACGCCCTCAGATCAGATCCAAACCCACAACGCGCTCGCCTGTTGATCGACTACGTTGACCATATTTTCGAGCAAGCCGCGGCGCTTCCCACTCCTTTGACTTCCGAGGACTTGAGCGAATTTGCTGAGGAGGTAGTGGCGGACTACGCATCTCGCCTATGGGTATGTTCTCACCGGTCCAATTTTACTGCCTGCGCTGCTAACAAAGGATTGCATCAGTACGCTCCTGCCATAGACGTCTGGGTGAATGAGCAAGAACGACAGAGGCAGGTCTCCTTGACCGAGGCCAGGAACCAGTGCTTCGAAGAGTACGTCCAATTTCGCACTCGATAACGAGTAGTGAGACACTCGTACTGACTCTCCCAAAGCACTCTCATCAGATTACGAAACGTCGGCTGGGAGAAGGAGCTCGACTTTATGGGCGCAAAGGAAATCGAAGTTATGTCGGGCTTGCCCGTGTTCCGGCAGCCATTTAATGTGACCGAAGAGTTCGGTAAGTACAAACATTACCTTCATTTCCACTTACGCACTAACGACACAACTATGCCGCAGTATGGCAGATGGTACAGACTATGGTCCGCGGATTCCTGAAAAGCGTCCGGCAAAAACGCATTCAGAAGGAGTATCGGGACCTACTCAAGACGCGGTTCGATGCACTCGAGGAGGCCCTCACGGCGCACTACGTGACACTCCCACGGACTGTACAAATGGACTGCCGTCCGAAGTACGTGGACTTCGCGTTCGCGCCCGAGTGCAGGGAGATTGCAGATGCTCCAGCGTCCCAAAATATCACCGCGGCGCACTTCGCGGCCGTCATTCCGTCCCTCACACGGAAATGGGACACCGAGTGCAAGAAGCAACTCACCGCATACCTCCGACCGCACATCGGCAAAGTCGGCGCCGGTGTGGACCCGCTCTCGCTCGCAATCGCGGTCTTCAAGGTCAACAAAGAACGGGCGTGCGTCGCGCCTATTGGGTCCATGCGGTACCCAAATATTCTCGCCCACGACTGTCTCTTCTCCCACTGCGTACGTGGGGCTCGTTGCAAGAATGCGGAGGCGTTACGACAGGAGGATTCCTACACACGCGCAGTGCTTTCCTTGGAGTGGTCGCCCCACCGGTTCGAAGACCTCGAGGAACACCCAGACCGGAGCATTAGTGTCCAGACTCCATTTCATCTCGACGGACTGGCCGACTGTCGTGAAGCCGGCGACGCAGTGAAGAGCATGCGCAGGATTGTGTCCGCGCTCGGACTAGACCCTATGCGAGCGACATTTGACCACTTGGAGCGATGCGACGTGTGGCTTCGATGTGTTACATGCGAGACGGAAGATCCGCACGACGTCGTCTGGGCGCGGTCGTGGAGAGAGGCAGTAAGTCTATTCAGCATACGGTCCGTGGGGTTGCGCTGCTTAAACGCTCCGCGTTTTATCTCCAGTACGATCACGATCAGAGCCATATCACTACTGAGAGTGTGTGCGATTTCGGCAGACGAAGCGCCACGGTCGCGACTGAAGAAGCCAGAAGGAAGGCTCCACAGTGGCGGTGCGTCAACGAGGAAGACATGGAGAAGGTGCGGACCCTCAGGGAGGATGAACACCTGAGAGCGCGCTTCGAAAACTCCGCCCTCTGGTCGTGCTCACTCTGCCCCACGTTCAACGCGATCTGGACAGGGATGTCTGCCCATCTCGAGGAGACGTGAGTGGTGTTAAATCTTCATCACTTATCTTGCTCTTGCTCAACCGCGCATCGTTATAACAGCCACAAGATCACAAACACCTTCCAGGCGAGGCTCGACAGAGTCGTCTACCTTCATCCGAACACTACGGCGGAGTCTGCAGCGTTTAGGGGTGCGGTCGCATTACGTGGACGTACAGACTCGCGGACCGGTCTCCTCATTGTGATGGAGAGCTCGCACCCAGGCTGCTCTTGATGTCCTCCAGTCGTCTCTGTAGCTTCTATGATGTGTCAATATTCTACCTCTGAATTCTGTAACTGTTCTAAGGAAACTCGTCCTCAGGCTATAGCTCAAGTACACCCGTGTACATGTTTATGTGGAGACCCGTTCCCGCCAAGTGCATAGTCGCGCCGGATACAAGAATACTAGTCACCTATTTTTGCACGAGGTTCGGTGTACTACGTACTTCAACGCGAGTCGGACTCGGAGGAGCAGCCGAAGATTGAGTGCACAGTGACACAACGCGCAAGATCGCGCATGATCACAGATCACGCGGATGTGACACGCGCGCGTTCCATTGGGCGCGACGGCCGATCTCCGCGATGAATCTCTCAGTCTTAGCCACCGCCTCGACGCCCACCATATGTCTCTTTGTTCCCTTCGTCAGCTCTCTTTCACCTGAACCACCACCATCCCCATCCAAGCTGCAATATGCCTCCTCGCAAGAAACAGCGTATCGACAACGCCGACAGTGCGCTACCAGTAGCGGTAGTGCCTCGCCGTACAACAAGGGCGTCAGCTAAAGCTGCGAAAGCAGGCAATGTCATCGCAGAAGACCCGCCTTGCCGCTGTTAGGAGGGGGAACACCAAGGCACCCGCAACGGACGCTGGCAAGCGCATCGCTCTCAAGGGCCGACTGCAAACCCTTGCGGATATTCCCGTGGATGTCCAACTCGAGGCAAGCCACACGCAGCTCTGGCCCGAAGGCAGACGGAGTGACTGATAAGCAACCCACTAGATCTACAACTATCTCGACTTGGAAGACTTGTTTAATATCTCGCGGACCTGCAAGAGCTTCCGTGACTTACTCTCGAACAAGCAGGTCGAGAAGACGCTGTGGGTGCCAGCACGGGCAAATACGCTCGGAATCCCTGACCGGCCGCCTTGGATGAGCGAGCGGCAGTTCGTGTACCTTCTTTATTCTCCTCATTGCCACGTAACATCTCGTCTCTCTACTCATAATACGAATTTTATTGACCTATGATCAGAACTGCGGTGCACCCAACATTCGGAAGGAGATATTCGGATGTTTCACTCGCCTGTGTGCCGCCTGTTTGCAGGACAGGTAAGCTGTTTCGCTTCCGGCACGTGTAACGAGCTCCCTGAATGGCGCTCCGCAGGACAGTGTGGTTTAAAGATGCCAGGGCTGAAGCTTCCGAGATCGACAGGAGCAGAACTTTGGGCAGGCTATTTCGTCAGGACACCATTGCATATCTGTTCCACGTACAACGACAGTCTCCGTGAGTGACACTGCAAGGTCCGCATGGGCATATAGCTCATCATAACACTACAGTGACCCATACGATCACAAATCCAACCGTTTACTAAGGGAAGACGTGGACCGCGTCTTTGCACGATCCAGAGCGCTCCCTGCTTCCTCAGTCGCAGACTCGAATGGTGCATACAGTCACGATAAAGCACAAGCGTTTTATGATCAGATTAAGGCGGAAACCTTGAATCGTCGGCCGGTGCGTACACTCCCAAAAATCAATAACTGCTTACACTGCTGAGGCATCTTGATTCTAGTACGCTAACGCCATACACGTCTGGTTGCAAAGGAAAGAGATGCAGAGGCAGGCAAGTCTCGGAGAGGCCAGGAAACAGCGCTTTGATGTGTATGTCCGTTTTCGATTTGGGGGATCTATTCCGCGCTCACAATGACTACCGAAGCATTGTAGCCAAGCTACGAGATGCTGGCTGGCGCAGGGATCTAGACTTTCTGGGCGCTGAAGGACTCGCGGATATGGCAAACATGCCAGTCGTCCGCCAATCGTCCAAGCTGACCGAAGGAGGCAAGTACTCTTCGTATCTCGTCGTCTGCCCGCGCGCTTATCGATATGATATGCATCAGCGTGGCAGAAAGTGCTCGCCGCTCTGGACAGCTTTCTCAACGATACCCGGGCTAGGCGTCTCGAAAAGGAGCTCCGCGCGGCGCTCAACGTACGATTCAAGCTGCTCGAAGAAGCTATCCAAGCATATTATGTGACGCTCCCGCGGAACACACAGATGGACTGCCGTCCGCAATACATCGACTTCGCATTCACCCCCGAGGTGAGGGCGATTGCGGAATCGCCCACATCCGACACCGTCACATTAGAGCAGTTCTCCGCGCTCGTCCCCGCGCTCGCAGAAAGGTGGGAAGCGGACCGCCGGAAAGAGCTCCTGGCGTACCTACGACCCCACCTCGGGAAGGTCGCCACCGGGGTGGACCCGCTCGCGCTCGCGATTGCGGTCTTCAAGACGCAGCCCGATCTATCCTGCGGCAAGTCCATCGCGCTGATGCGCTACCCCGCCCTCTTCGCACACGCGCACTACGCATCCTGCGTGCGCGGGACGACCTGCGGGGACGCGGCTGCGTTCCGCGCGCAGGACATGTACACGCGCACCGTGCAGTCCCTGACGTGGCGCAAGTACGAGTTCGAGCAGCTCGACGAGCACCCGGAGTGGGAGGTGTGCGTCCACGCCCCGTTCCACCTGGGCGGGCTCGTCGGGGGCGCGGCGGCTGGCGAGGCGGTAGAGGGGATGCGCCGGATCGTCACGGCACTCGGGCTGGACCCTGCGCGCGCGACGTTCGACGATGTCGAGCGGTGCGACGTGTGGCTGCGTTGTGTCACATGCGAGACGGATGGCCCACACGAGACCATCTGGGCACGGTCCTGGAGAAGCGCGGTAAGTGTATACGCTGGTGTTCGAGGCTCGATGGGCTCGACCCGCTGACGGGCCCCCTTCCTTTGCTGCAGTACAAGCATGATGAGGAGCATGTCGCGGGCGTGCAGGGGGCCCAGAGGAAGATCCCGAAATGGCGTCGTGCCGACGACGAGGATATGGAGAAGGTGCGAGCGCCCAGGGAGGATACATTCCCGAATGTGGATTTCGAGAGGTTCGAGAGGTCCGCGATGTGGTCGTGTTCGCTCTGCCCCGCGTTCGACGCGGTCTGGAAAGCGATGTCGGCTCACCTCGAGGAGACGTGAGTGCTCTTGATATGATTCCGCATGCTACGGGATAGCTCACTGACCGTTGCGCGTTGCGACAGGCACGAGATCGCAGACCCTTGTCAGGCAAAGGCGGATGGGATTGTCTACCTCCATCCGAACTCGGACAAGGAAGGGGCGAGCGCAAACACGGTCCGACTACGTGGGCGTCTGGATCCCAAGACTGGCCTCGCCGTCATTCCCAAGTACCCATGGATGTACTAGTCTGCGTTGGTTCGTCCTCAAGTTGTAGATTATTATGTGCGCATGTATCATAGTCTATATCTCTTACGACCCTTCCTTATATCTGTCTCGCGTATCTCTGTACAGCACATCAAACAGATCGTACTTCGTACTGTAGCCTATCTCTCCTCCAGGACTATAATCGCGCACCGCGTGCACCCTCTAAGAAACGTACATGCCCCTTCCTTCCTTTGCGCGCGCGTCATAGCTCTGCGTTGCGTCCTCCCGCATTCTGCACCTGCGAGAATCCCAGAGCGGTGGGCATGGGGTCGTAGGATTCGCAAATGCTGTATGGCTGCGCGGCCGCGGCGGCATGGGCTTATTAAATTACAATAAGTACATCAAGGGCCGCTTCTCGGGACCTCGACAGGACGCCTCGGGCGACCGTCCTGCGGAGGATACAAAACCGTAGAGGCGGGTGCGAGGACTCCTTTCCGGAACTCTCCAGTGTCCACCCGAAGATTCTGAGACAAGGTTCCTTTTCTGAAGTGCGGTAGCATGATTTAATCAATGTAAATAGTTGAAGCAAGCGCGAGGAGCGCTGCAGAAAACTCACCATGGTTATGACCTGGAGCTGTAGGCCAGCCCACAGTGCGACCGAAGAGGATCATGACAGAGCAAGAGAGGTTCCGGCAAATATACAGGACAAGAGCGCACGCCGCCTCCGGGCGCTCCTCCAGTCACGATTTCAGTCGTCCTCCGTGATATGGCGGTCTTGTAACCCCCACCTCCCGCCAGGGTAGTTCCACTCACTCCCAGAGTCCAAGCGCGCGTCCCTAGGCTCCCTCCGCGCGCCCGGTGGTCGCACCACGATCGGCACGCCATAGTTCCGGATCGCATCCGCCCGAGACCGCACGGAGACGTCGGGGACCATCTGCGACTTGATCTTAGGGTAGGGCTCCCAGATGTTGTAGGGCTGCGTGGCGGCGAAGGCGTGGGCGTGGCTCGGGTCGCGGGCGTAGCGCAGGTCCATGACCATTGGGGGGCCAGGAGGGGGCGGTGGAGGCTCAGTGGGGGCCGCTGATGTGCTTGAGTGCCGTTGCTCAGACGGGACGGGCGCGTGTACGGCCTAGATAGAAAGGTTCAGCACGGGCACGGAAGTTCTCGAGCATGGGTGAACCTGTAGCAAAAGCCTCACCTTGTACCGCCAGCTGTGAGTGTATAGTGACTCGGGCTTGGCAGCAGGATGTTTGGGAACGCGCTGGGAAGCAAGGGCAGCACGATCCGATTGAGGAAGCGAGTCGTGGCGGCATTGGATGTGGATGAACGCGCGTTGGATGGGGGCGTGCGGATCGTCAGTGTCAACGACCAGTTCGACACCGTCCCGTGTTCGTGAGCGCTCTCCTGAAATGGGCCCCCGGATTGCAAGTGGGATGATGGTGGACTCTTCGAGGGGGTGGCGGTTTGACTGTTTAGAATCCCAACCTACGGCGTAGATAATTGAGTGGAGGTGAACAAGTGTGCCGATCTCTAGTGGGTGTCTCGGCGTTATGACGAGTGTGTACATTGCCGTGCGCAATGACGGAGGTGTTGGTAAAGTTTGCGAAGAGATTGGAGCAACATAGAGGGGGATGTAGGTGTGAGCCAGTGCGGTCAAGGCTGGCGTATGTGGCACTGAGAAACCCGAGGCCATACCAATACCAGCTGGATCGGTCAACATGATGTGGTCGGGGAGACCGGCGCCGAGGACTATCGTGGTGTGAACTTGGATGCGAGTGGGTCAAGAGGAGAGTGATTATGCATTCTGGGCCGAGCTGCCTTCTCGCAGAGGGTGGTCAACATGCCGTTACGTGCGAGTCTGCGCCGCGTAGACTGAGCGTCTCTTTGTCGGCGCGTATGTCACAGTGCACGCGGCTGTGACCGACGCGCGCTTTTTCTTTGTTCAAGTTTTTGACGTCCTGCTCTTGCATCTGGACCCTTTCGTTGGACGCGGCCGTCTCTCCTCCCTCTGTACTACTCCTCCATCCATTGACTCCCTACTGCCTTCTCACTGACACGTATTCCAAATAGGCATGGTATTTGATCTAAACGCCACAGCACACAGCTCAATTTGATCAACATTCCGTTTCATGAATCCCACCAGTCCGCACGCAATACCGCGGGCAATATGATGAACAAGTCGCCGACGTTTGACGTGGTTGACTGGTAGCTCCTGGCCGTCCGTGCCTATTGGCTGTTCTCTGACAACTCACACCATGTGCCCTAGCTACAGGACAAATATCGAATACCCACTGGCGGTGTACACTGCCGCGCGTAGCCCCTCGATGCGCGATTTGATTTCACCGAGCCTGCGCAACTCTATTCAACGTGCGTGAGCGAAGGATCCGCTACCGGACTTCTCGTTTGCCGATCGAACGTATGTCTAAACTCGGGGCGGCAATCACACAGCTGTCGGGGTGTAATAGCAGGTAACGGTGCGCCACCAGCGGATGCAATAAAACGCTCTCACGTTGTATGACTCTAATCCTTGTCCACAGTAAGTGTTTCCTAGGCTTCATGATACATGAGTAGTGTGTCTCCCGCAGAGACATGCCTCCGGCGATTCCGCGAAAACTGCGTAGGTGTTCTTAGTATATAGGTTGTGAATGTCGACGGTCCTGGGGCCCCCAGTCTCGTCTCTTTCTCTGTGAAGATGTTTTCTCTTTCTTTCTTGCCCCTGGCGGGCAGCATTTTGCTTTTTTTCTTGCTCCCCGCGGTTCATTCTAAGTCCCCATCTTTCTCAGTCAGCGTCCGCGGGGCCGGCGTGAGGTTTGTCAATGGTCCGCTGTCCCCCGACAGCGTTGGAGTCAGCACCACTGACAATACGAAGGTAAGTCCCCGTCAGTAGAATATCTCTAGCCTATTCATCTGACTTTTCAAAGTACGCTACCGACGTCACTCTCGGAGGGCTCAGTAAGACGCAGTCCCCGTCTCCACTTCCAATTAGACGCTAATATAGGTACCTGCTAGATTTGACTTTGATCCTCGATACGGGCTCTTCCGACCTTGTTGTGGTGCGGCAGGGACGAAACATCAACCTGGTGAATACCTCCAATGTTCCAGTCAACGAGACTTTCGGCATCGGATCGGCCGCAGGCAATGTTGCATTCGCCGACCTACAGATCGGAGACTTCACCGTCCATTCCCAAGGTAACGCGACTCACCCGCCTCTTATTCTTTGCTTTTCTGACGACTGTCTTTACTTAGCTTTCGTCGATGCCACGCAGACCATCGACTTCAACGAGGGGCAGGACGGATTCGACGGCATCATCGGGGTGAGCTTCAATGCCCCCTCCGCCGTCATCGAAGCGCTCTCGAAGGAGTTCGACGCGGACGCCGCAGCACAACTCGGCAACACCCCGCTGCCCGCGCTCTTCACGCAACAGCCGGACCTCCCAGACAGCTTCGACGTGCTGCTCGGCCGCGCCGACGAGCTCGGGGACGCCGCCCCGGGCACGTTCCTCATTGGGGGCCACGACGACAACTTCCGGGACATCGCGGGCGCGACGGAGCTCGTGAGCGTCAGCACGGACCACTGGAGTGTCGTCATGGACGCGATGAACATCAACGGCAAGCCGTTCCCGTTCAACGCGTCGCGCGTCCAGGGCGTCCCCGCGGGCAAGGTCGCGGCTGTGCTCGACACTGGGTTCTCGTTCCCGCCTATCCCTCCGGCCGCTGTGGACGCGATCTACTCGTCCATCGAGGGCGCGGTGTTCGACGAGACGACGACCTTCTGGATCGTCCCCTGCAACTCGAGCGGCGTGAGCCTGTCCTTCGTGTTCGGGTACGTTCTCGTGTGTGTCGTTCTACCCTCCGTTCAATCCCGCTGACTCCCCGTGATCGCAGGGACCAAGAGTTCTTCGTGCACCCCCTCGACCTCACGCTCCCCGTCGCAGGCCCCTTCAACGGCCCCGGGGGCGGGAACGTCACCATCTGCATCAACACGTTTCAGTACCTCACGCTCGACCCCGCCGAGTTCGTCGGCTTCGACCTCATCCTCGGCGACGCCTTCCTGCGCAACGTCTACGCCTCGTAAGCCCGCCCATCTTGTCTCCCTCGCATGCACGCTCACCATTGCGGCAGGTTCAACTACGGCGACCAGAACACGCCGCCGTTCGTGCAGATGGTGACGACGACGCCCGACGCGGACACGGCGCAGCAGGAGTTCCAGCAGCAGCGCGCGAAGACGCTCGCGGGGCTGCCGCCCACCATCGACCCCGCTGCCGCCGCGAACCAGGGGGGCCAGAGCCCCGCTGCGGGCGCCCCAGGCGTTCCGGGCTCAAGCGCGAGTGCGCGCGCGACGAGTTCAGCGGGGCCGTCGAGCTCGGCGACGCAGACGGTGCAGAACGCGCAGCCGACTGCAAGCAACAACAAGAACGGCGCGGGGAGGGCGAGGGCGTTGTGGACGGGTGTGTATGGTGCTTATGTGCTGTACCTGGTGTCTGGCGTGTTTCTGCTGTAACGAAGTCTGAGTATGTTTCCTAATGCATTTCAAATTCGATTCCCACCACGGCCACAGACCACGCTCACCGCTACAGCCACTCAATCTGCGCCTACCTACCAAAACGCGAATGAGTGCGTCTCCTCAATGTGCTCGCCGCGCGCCCGGTCTAAGGCTATACCGGTGGTGCCTGTTCGCGCTGTCTGACGTTCAACTGTTAGGACCGTGCCGTCCGGGGTTGAAGTCCGGGTTAGCCGGAGTTCGGGGTTCGGAAGTCCGAGGTGGACTTAGCGGCACAGAGGTGAGGACGCTGCGAAGCTATTAGCAACGCACTGGGCAAACTCGTCGAGTCCTCTATTTCGGAGGCCGGAGTTCGGAGTGGACGGAAGTCCGGTAGAGTCGGAGGGAGAAGTGGGGAGAAGGCTGAGGGCGAGTAGGAGTTAAGCAGAGAGACGGAAACGAAGTCCGAGGCGGACTTCGGGTTTCGGGGTCGGAGGTCGGAGATCGGACGGGAGAAGTTAGGAAGCAGAGAAGGAGATCGGATTAGGAAACGAGATATCTGAACTGAGGTACTACGACATTCCGGGCGCGTATTTATGGGCGCGAACCTTATTGTCTAGCGGAAACAATAGCGAAGGAAGAATATGAAATCGGAACTCGGAGTACGTGCGGAAGTCCGAAGTCCGAGGTACGAAAACAATAAGCTAATTGTCTAATCGAGTGATAACGAAATATGGCGTGATGTGCGATAATCGGACGTACGGAGTTCGGAACTCGGAGACGGAGTTCGGGATCGGGGTTCGGGATCGGGGTTCGGCGCACGGGATGTAACAGTGCCTTCCCCTTAAGGCCCGAACCCATGAGGGCC